GGGATAGCTAATACCCTGGGGGCAGAAACAAAATTCAAAACAATCTTGATAGGTGGGAGTACGGGGTTGAAAACAACAGAATGAAATTTAACTGGGACAAATGCAAGTTTCTGCATCTAGGAAAGTGAAACAAAAGGCATAGTTACAACAAGATAGGAAGTACTTGGCTCAAAAAAAATCTAAAAGTGAGAAGAAACTTGGAATTGTAGATTACTCTCTGAATTTTGGACTGCGTTAATAGAAGTTATCACTTCCAAATCATGTGAAGTTCTAGGTTCCCTATGGTCAACACTGGTTAGGCCTCAGTTGAAGTACTTTGTTCAATTCTGGGCACCATGGTTTCAGAAAGATGCAGACAAGCTGGAAAAGGTCCAGAAGAGGAGGTTCAAAGAGTAAATATGGTCAGGAGACTGGAAACAAAGCCTGTGAGGGAAGGCTGAAAGACTGGGGGGAAGAGAAGACTGAGGTGATATGTGATAGCAGAGTAGATGGTCCTAGAGGCCCCTTCGGACTCATTTTTTTTCTTTGTTTTCTATGTTTAAGTATTTGAAGGCATGTTATAGAAAAGAGGACTGAGATCTCTTTCCCCTCATCCCAGACTTTAGGACATGGAATACTGGGCTAAAGCTACAGGAAACCAGATTCTGGCTGAATGTCAGGAAAAACTTCCGGACTGCTAGAACATTATAACAATGGAACCAATTACCTAGCAAAGTTGTGAGCCCTCCACACTGGAGGCATTCCAGATGCAGCGGGACAGGTATCTGTTAGGGCTGCTTTAATTTGGGCAGGGAATTGGATGTGATGGCCTTCTTGGCCCCTTCCAACTCTATGATTCTGTGAAAGCAGTGATATGGCAGACAGAATAGAGAATGATGTACCCCAAATGTTGCGTTGCAAATATAATCTTGCTAACATATTTTTTTGTATTCTGAGGAAAAGCTTCATTAAAAACTCACTATCACCTTTTGCATGTGTGCATGTCCTCCCTCCCTCCCTCCCTCCCTCTCTCTCTCTCTCTCTCTCTCTCTCTCTCAAATTTGGGAATAACTGACAAACCATTTCACTGTTTTGAACAATGTGAAATGTTATAGATTTTCACCTAAGAATATGAGATTGCTGTCACATGGTTATTAATATTTTTAAGCACTCTATGTAAATATCCTTTAACTTAGTAGATATTTAGGTTATCAGTAAAAAGTTAGCTTCATACTACACACTAAGAAACGTTCTAGTATCTTTCTATCCTTTTTGGAAAGTCTTGCCACTGTGGTATTTGCTGTTACTGCTGTATTTTTAGGTGGTTTAAATGATATATTTTCCTGTGTTTACAGTCTTTCTGATTAATTGAGTAATGCTTTCTGGTACATAGCTATTTTGTATAAACCACAGTGCATATAAATATATAGCTGAATTAGTTGCATGTAGTACCTTTATATTCATTTCCAGCTGTTATCAGATAGATGTGTAATGTTAAAAATAGCCAAAGTGCTTGTCTAGGTTTCAACTACAAAAGTGTAGTAGGTCACAGTATCAACATTTGGATGTTCTTGATGAGTTAGGAACATTAACCTTAGCTATATATGTAAATTAATGGCAATAAGATAAACCAAGCAGTTTCAGTTCTGTTTTACCTAGTTATTAATAGTAAGGTGTTAATAATATATTAATTTTTATTTCAGTGGCTATATTAATATAGGGAATAGGCAACTAGGAACCCAAGGATCAAATATAATTCTTAAAGTAGGATCGGGCAACTTATTATCCTTCAGGTATTTTGTCCTACGACTCCCCTTATCTCATACCACTGGCTGCACTGGCTGTGGCTGATGGGAGTCGGGTCTAAAGTTGTCAAGTCCATTATAGATACTTTCTATCTGGATCTGAATACAGATGCAAGCTCATGTATTCTTACAACCTGTTCAGCCACTTTCTCCTGAGTCAAGGCACAGGCAAAGTGTTCTCTACAGCATATACCCAGTAAGAAAAAACTTGGCTATAACGCTTGTTGGGAAATGAGCTGGTCACTCCTCTGTACAAGCCAAAACCCAGGAAAACAGTAGGAAGCAGCAGAGGCAGCTAGAGGAAGAAGGATGCTGCTAAAGCATTTGCCATTGATCATGCTGAAAAAAGAGTGTCCCTGGTCTCTGTCTGGTCTCAATTGGTGGGTTCACATAGTACATGAAGCCTTTTGAGTTAATAAGCCATGTAGCAGGACTTCTTTGCAGGGACAGACAACAGATGATTCCTGCCTTCTCTCCAGTCCTCCAGTGGGTGGTGGCACATATCCATATTATTTGTGGTAGAGACAGTGTCCCATGGTTGGTTGCTTACTGTATCACCATCTTTTTCATTGGTGTGTTGGCTATATTGCTATCTTCCTTTCTTTCAGTCCTCTTTGCAGCTAGCCAATGTTTATGCTTTGATCAGCTCTCCATCATGCCTGTTATTTCCCCCTGCACTACTCAAGAGCCTGCTTGTGCAGCTTATAAACTTCTCTTGACCTGCTGTAGTCTCTCTCTCTCTCTCTCTCCCCCTCTCCCTCCCTCCCTCTCCCTCTCTCTCCTCCCTTTGCTTGGGCATTAGCTGCAGCCAAGCCCACCAGTGCTCTTACTTGATCCCTTCCTTTCATGTCTCTGACACCCTTCTCAACTCCTGTGAACGCTCCATCCATGCTCAAAGAGCCCCAGTTTTTGCTCAAAGAATTACAGTCTCCTTCTTCAGGGTGTGCATCTTTTCTTTCGGGAGTGCACTTAAATTCTTGGAGCAGCAGCTGCTTACAAAACCAGGGGAAGAGGTTGTCATGCCTTATGTTGGGGAGAATTTCCTGCTCTAGAGATTGATTAAAATACTTCATCTCTGACTCCCTAGCAAAACATCCTTAATTTCATATGCAGATTTACTCCCTGTGTCTTGCAGCTTGGATTGAAGCCTACCAGGGCTGGGAGCCTTGAGTGCTGGGCTCCCTGTGAGAAAAGCAGGGATGGTGCAAGCACCCTGAGAAAGCTGGCTGCTAAAGTAGATGCAGGGCCATTTTGGAGTTGAAAATTATCCCTGTCCCAGGTGGGGATGGCTATAAATGAAGTGGCTTAGAGGAGGAGCCTGTGTACAGTGAGAATGGTAGCTGCAGAAGGGTACTGTGGCGTGTGGGCTGGGTTGACTTATCAGTCAAACAGTGGGAGCAAGTATTGGAACAAATTATCAGGATGAAGTGCTTACAGATCTGTTGCTAAGCAACAACTATATCTGCGGGGTAGAGGGAAAGCAAAAGTTCTTGACCACTGTTGCTGTATGTCTTGAGAAATTAGAGTCTGAGTTCAGATGACATACTAAGCTGTGGAGGGTTAAGCAAACTCTACAACATGCCACAAGCAACCACCCCATGGGAAGAGCACTGGGTTGAAACGGCATGCTAAGCCATAGTGGCTTCATAGCCTCCATGGCTTATTGCATCACAAGACCAGCCAATGAGCCATTGGTTCGTTGAAAATATGGCCTTATTAGAAATTATTTGCTGACCAAGGTATTAACAGCCTTACTTGATTTCTGTTCATAAAGTATGGCTGTACAGCATTAATAGTGTTTGAAAGATCTAGGACATAATATGGAACACAGAGTTCTCCAAGCAGTTCCAGAAATTGCTCTGAAGCTCAAATACAAGCCTAATGCAGCCTGGAAAGTATTATTCATAAACTGTGCACATAATGTCCTACATTAGGCTATTGTTGCCTTTGATTCAAATGGTTTCATGGGTAGACTCAATTGCTTAATTTTTAAGACCTGATTGTTTATGATTTTATAAAGTTGAAAGAATTGCAGCATTCACCAAGTCTAGCTCCTGCCTCATAGGAAAATGTCTTCTGTGTGAATTGAATGGAAACTATTCTGCAAGCTGAAGTGGGATGATGGGAGCTGTTAGTCCAACACATCTGGAGAGTGCTAGGTTCATTGAATCTGCTCTGCTGTACTGTTTGTGTTGTGGGGGAAAGGATGGCCAACTTAACTCTGCAGTTCAGCAAACAACTTTCCGGTCAGTACTGAGCTACATGGACCCGTGGTCTGACTATGTCTAGAGTTACTTCTTTTGCTACCTCTGTTCTGTTTTTTCTTTGTAATATCTAATGCAGCATGTGATGTGGAGCATCTCCCCATTTTTGCCTTCTAACTGTGGAAGTGACTGGGTTGGTAGAGCAGAATGCATGGATTGTGTTGCACATTACAAGGAAGACTGATAGAACCAGCTATCTCTAGGGCACAGTTCTATGCATGTTTGGACAAAAATAAGTCCTGTAACTCCCAGTATTAGCCAGCCAGCCCTGCTACCCGGGGAATGCTGGGAACTGTAGGGCTTTTTACCATTTAAATATACATACAATGGCGTACTTAGTCTAGTTTGGCACTCCAGTGAACAACATCTCGAGATTATGCAACTGCACAAAATGTTCAAATGACAGTGTCATTCTTCAAGCATCTACAATACCTGAGGCAGGAAGTGCCAGGCAGTAGAGCTAAAAATAGTGCTAGTGCTTGATGTTCTTGGGTGCTAGCTGCTGCCTCTAATTAAAATGTTCACATTATTGTGGCCTGATCTTTCTAAGTGGAGCTGATAGATCAGATATAAAAGCTGACCTCTCAGAAAACATTTGGAAGGCAAACCATCTGGATTGCCTATTGACAAAAAATGATGCACTCATTTGGGACATGGAATTAGCTGTGACATATACATAGTCTCTGCATTCCAGTTTATGAGTTATGACAGTTCTTTAGTAGCTACCAGTGGAGTGAATGGCACCTACATGAACTAAGGTTTGTACTGAGAGAAAAGTGTATGTAGAAGTACTTTTTGTCTGTCCTGTATGCATTTTTATTAAAGGGGACAACGCCTTCCTAGATAAATTTAAATCTCCCATACATGGTGGCCATAGTGGGATAAAACCCCCAAACCCAAAATTTTCTAATCTGTTGCCTTTCACTTATGCAAGTCTTTTTCTTTCAAATAGGAATCTTCAGAAATTAAGTCTCTTTGGTGATATAAGCATTCTACAACAACATGGAAGTATATCAAACACATACCTCAGCAAAGTGGATCCAGATGGAAAAAAGATTAAGCAGTAAGTTGTCCAACAGATATTATGATGGCATTATGAACACAAATAAACTGTTTGTGTCTTTATAGAAATATAATCCTGACTATTTAATGACCTGTATGAAACAAAATTGTTTGCACTTTCAGAGAATTTGTATCGCTTATATTCTTAATTGTCTATTTCCTTTGCATACAATGTGGCTCCTTTCAGAATTTAAAAATAATAGTCAGGAAATGCTTTTTTTACGATGGTAATTTGTGTTCCAGAAGAAATGATAGAACATTTATTTCAGGAAGAAAGTGCTCAAAGATCCAGACTTTCCCTACCTGGCATCCTCCAGATGGCTGTACAACTCCCAATAACTATGCTGGCTTAGGATGATGGGGATTGTAGTCCAACACATCTGAAAGACACTGGGTTAGGGAAGATGGATCAAATCCAATCCTCTGCTGAAGCAAGATTTTGTCCAGTAATTCTTAGTGGTAAACCTTACGTTATACAAGCCACAATTCAAATGACAGAGAGAGGGTGCCCCTCAAACAGCTGCTCAGAGAGTGTGACCCCCACTCCAGCAAGTTCAAGAGAAAGCTGGGTGACTAAACTGTGCTCACATTACTCCTGCATGACTGTACTTGTCCAGGCTCTGCTGAACTGGCTGGATGCAATTAATGTGAATGGAAATGCACATTCACATCAAAATTCACCAGTTAGTACACATGACTAGTTCCTTCGATTATATCAGGATCAGGGATTTTAAAAATTGAAGAAATCATGTTATGAATAATGATACATTTTGTCCTCCTTCTGTCCCGTTCATTTTTTCCTTTTCTGTATCGTGCCTTTTAGATTGTAGACTGGTGGGCAGCGATTCTTTTATCATTGATTTTGCAAACTGCTGTAGGAGCCTTTTCAGGCTGAAGAGTTGGGGGTACAAAAGGTTTAGATAAATAGGTGAAGTAATTGTTTAAGTACTAGAGAAACACATATTCCACTACATAGCCAGTGGAAACTTAAGTTGACTGGTGTATTTCACAGATGACTGTGACTGCGCAATTACATTTCTGTGCCACCCCATAGCTGAAATCTAAGTGAGCACTGAAATTGCCAGTAAGCAAAATCTACTGGTTGTAGCATCTAAGATTTCACCGTTGCTACTGTATGTATTCAAAATAAGCTGTTTAAAAAGTTCCAGTATGAGTATAAAGTCACACTTAAACATTCACTACTTTGACTGAATGCTTTGTCAAGTTGTGTGAAAAATGGTTTTCACAGAATAAGCACCGCAGATAAGATTTTCATATTTCAAAATATCACTTCATATGTTGAGTTCCTAAGAGGAACATAGAAACCTGCTTCATCTGAGTCACACCACTGGCCCATCTAGCTGCAATGGCTTTCCAGAGCTTTTCTAGCTCAAATGGATTTGCTGGGGATTGAATCTTCTGCATGCAAAGCAGGTGCTGGTCCACTGAACTACCGTCCCTCCCATATTAGGTGGCAAATTGCATTTTGTACTAACATATATGCCTCAGTTCTAAATTTCAGTTTAGAGTATCATTTAAATGAGATGCACAAAGTTCTGGTGCATGGAATAGATATAAACTTTATAGAATCTAGCATCTTTATAGGGCTTCTGCCAGCTGATTGCTTTCCTCAGTATATGCTAGTTATTAAATAATGGCAACAAATAAATTAGCATGCACAGTTTCAAAACAGCAAAATATTTTTCATACTTTTAAAAGAAAACAAAAAAGACAAGAGCAATTATTCTGCAAGAGTTTCAGGCAAGTTTATATACAGTATGTGAAAAATGTCACACAATTTGTGTCAAAGGTATAGAACAGGTACTTTTGTAGGCAGTGTGCTTCAGGGCAGCAATTAAGTTGCATGCTTGTGTACTGAACTAGGCTCTGAATTTAAAAATTCTTGTACAGAAGGTTAAGACTGTTTGTTGTGTTTCTTCTTGCAGAATACAGCAGCTCTTTGAAGAAATATTGGGTAACAGCAGGCAACTGAAATGGCTGTCATGTGGGTTTATGCTTCAGATTGTAACACCCACATCATTGTCATCTCTCTCAAATCCTATTGCCAACACAATGGAACACCTGAGTTTACTGGACAACCACATCCCTGGTAATACCACTCTTATCACTGCAGTTGAATTGGAGCGCTTTGTCAGTCTTCGCTCCCTCGCCTTGGATTTCTGTGATTTTACAGCAGAAATGGCAAGAGTCTTGGCTGACAGCAACCATGTGCCTTTGCATCGACTGTCTCTTCTGGTTCACAATATTTCTGTAATGCACAAGTCCTTGGAGAACATGCCAGAAGATGAGGATTGGAAGGCACTGACACGCAACAGCACTAATCTTCGGGTCTATATAATGGCTTTTGATATCAAGAGCGATGACATGTTAAGGATTCTTAAGCCCAGTATCCCACTGGAGAGGATTCACTTTGATAGCTACATCACTTGCGTTTCAGGAGCTGTTGTTGATCTCATATCTAGGCAGTATGATAAGTTTCTCACTCACTTCATACTAATGAATGATGTGATAGATATGTCTGGCTTCCCAGATCTCAGCGACAACCGGACAGAAGACCCATTGGTTTTACTGGCCTGGAGGTGCACGAGGCTCTCCCTTCTGGCAGTCCATGGTATGCAATTCCATAGGTGCAAAATACAGTTAATTCATAAACAAACTTTTGTTAATTTATTAACAAACAAATAATCTATGGATATACATTTGATAATGTTATCCTTGAGTATTTTTCCTAATGCAGGTTTATGCTGGTATATAAATTTGTGATTACATTGAGAAAACTATTACCTCAATCAGTACACGGGACAGTGACAGTTGGGGAAAATGTCTTGGAAGAAAGAAACTTTACTTCCATTAATGTTTGTTCTTTAGTCATGCATTGCTGATTTATTCATAGGTATATGACCTCTGGGTATGTTTTAGATCATTAGCTACTTGAACCTACTTACTATATGCTAAGAAATATTAGAGATGTTTCCTTACCTAAGCACCCAGAAATGATGGGAAAGGAAAGAGGCTGTCTCACATAGATTAAACAGCAAAAGCCTGTTTGCAGCACATTCGCTATCTGTTGGCCTGTGTACATAAGGGCACAATCCAGTGCTCTCCACTGCAGATGTATGTAAGCCTCTGAACACAGAGGCTTATGTGCATCCAGTGCATGAAGTGAGGTGTAGTTGCAGTCAGCATTGTTGCTCAACTGGCTGTTTTCAGTCATCCAGATGAAGTGCTGGGGGAGGGAAGACGGATGCCGATTTGAAACAGCATAAGCCGCCTCCTCCCCTCTCCACTTCTGGCACATGCTTTTTCTCTTCTCCAAGGCCCAGCTGTGTCCTCAGAAGGGTAGCTGAGGCAGTTGTTGCCATGCCTGCTGTGAGGAGGGCAGAGTACAGGCTCAGCACTGAGAGTTCCAAGCTCACCTTTGCCCTGCTGCCCCAACATCATTAAGAATCCATAGGAATATGCCCTAAATTGAGCTCAGTTTGTACAAGAAATTTTAGCTCAGTTTGTACAAGAAACTGTTCGAGAAAATTCCTAGATTGAAAGAGGAAATCTGCTGTGGGGCTATCATGTTTTGGGTGTGGAAGTGAAAGGAAGAAATGTGAAGTCAAATAAAATTGTATTGACTGATTTTATGTTTCAGGATATACTGTTTGGGCTCACAACCTGATTGCAATTGCTCGTCTTCGTGGCTCTGATTTGAAAGTGCTTGAAGTCACAGAGGAAAGCATTGATTTTGACCAAGGTGAACTGGCTGATCAGGATGTGGATCCAGTACATAATCTCATTGAGCAGGTATCCCTTGGATTGGGTCGACCTTGGCATGCAGTCATGGACATAGAATTACTCAGTGTCTTTACTGAGCCAACTCGTCATTTTTACAGAGAAATGCAAAGCTTCAGTGAAGGCATTTAGCTCTCTTTATTTACAGTTCCTGTGGTTACATATGCAAGTAGGGTCCTATTATGTTTTTCAGTAGTGTGAATTAACCCCTCTTGTGCTGTGTTTAATCAGTATTAGCTATATAGAATTATATATGTATATTCTACTTCTTGATCAAAGAACGTAGTCGGGTATTGGTTTAGAAGCTGAAAGTGGCAACGTTTAGGGCTTTCACGGTTAATGGACTTGTCTACAAAAACAAAACAAAACTCAGATGTGGCTGAAGGTTGTCTGAGGTTGCCGGCTAACTTTCTTTTTGTACTGAGTAACTCTGCAACTTCACTGATTTTACTATTGTCGGAGTTTTTGTGCTCAGGAGCCAAAACTGTTTTTCCTACCCATAGCCCAGTAGTTTTGAACACAGTCATTGTCATGTAAACTGGTAGCATGCTACTTATGCTTTTTAAAAAATCAGGACTATCAATACCATTTACTGTATACCTTTGCTTTGATTTCATGTACAATATCTGAAGCATGAAATATTGCCACGCTGCAATCTCCTAAAATATGAAGCAGTAGTCTCTTGCACTGTGTAGCTCTTTCAGATGTTTCCTTGACTCTGAAAGCTATAAGTTGTAGTTTCATTGTAAATGAATTATAGCTTCTTTTTCTCGTGGTCTGTCAGCTTCTCCATACAAGTTAGCTTTGGGCCCAGATTTAAAAAGAAATGTTGTCTATACACTCCGATGGGGTAAAACCATAATTTAGATATAAATTTATAAGTCTACTTTGCTTGCAAACATTAGTCGTGAAATCCCTAGCAACTAAGTCACTGGATTTTCTCTGTCAGCGCCTGTGTCAGCTGCCAAAGAATAGATTAAAATGAAGAAGTGCCCACATGCTGGCAGGGGCAGGCCAAATTTTGGCCAGCCAGATACTGCTAGATTGTTATATATAAGGTCGAATTTCGACCTGTGGTACACAGCTGTGCTGTGGCTCAGTCAGCAACCTCAGAACTCTTAAACATGCACCTGTTTCACTGTGAATAGTGAATGTAAAGGAAGGAAAGGAAAACAGATACAAGCCTTGTTCTATCACAGGTATGAGCTGCTATGATGCATGAAGAACATTCCATGAAGTATGTTTTAAAATCTTGTTATATCTGAGAGGCTTTAAAAGCCGATTTAAACTGTTTCAGGGCAACCGCGGTACAGACGTGGTCTCTGTGAGACTTCCACCTGACCCAAGTTTTAAGTGGTACGAATGTTGTGCATTTAATGTTAAAGGACAGTCTGCAATAATAAAGTAAGTGGCCAACGTGGGTGCCCAGCAGTGCTGAGACCTGGCTGCCATATTGTAAGCTTTGGAAAACACAATTTATGCAACAGATGTCCAGATATGATTCTATTTATGGAAAAGTTTATATGTGTTTTACAAATGGTTTTACCATCTTATATTAAAATGACCTTTTGACAGGTGTGCGCTGTTTTGTCTCCAGTGAGCACATACCATGCGGATTTTATATGTACATCAGTAGAGTGAATCCACTGGCACAGTGTGTGTATATGCCAGATGTGGTGAGATTTTATCTTATGTGATCAGACTAAAGTATCTCCTGACAGAAAATGTAAGGAAACCAGCTGAGTGTTTGATTTGATGACTGATGTTGTATGGTTTATGTTAAATGTATATTCTTTTAATCAATGAATAAAGCATTAAAATTAAGCATTGTAAAATAGTTTATTATATCAGTGCAATAGTTTTAGTGGCAGACAAATCACCCTTTTTGTTGTAAACTGCTTAACTCCAAAAGCCTTGAATTCTGAAATAAGTCAGATAGGAATTTCCTTTTGAGCATTTTAGGAAAAAAGAAAATGAGCAAAGGACCAGACCAGCTAGTTCAATTTGATATTGCTTAGTTAGACTGATGAAATAAAATCTTTTAAGTGTTGAATCCAGAAATACTGAAAATCTCTCACAATAATAGCTGATACCAAAATCAAATGTGTTCTAAAAAAAACTGTGTTCTTATATCCATGTCCCACTATTAAATAGACTGTGAACACCTATCATTCTGTTGACTTTACATTTTACCTGCTGGTGAATTTTATATTGCATTTTCTGAATTAACACATGAGTTATTGAAAATGGACAAACAGCAGCTGATCTTCTAGGTAAAGAATTGCATTTTTTCCCTTGCAGCTTGTTGCTTCAGTGTGCCTCACTTCATTGCAGCTTACCACAAAATATTTAAAGATGTTCCAGCGAAATGTTGATGCTTGTATTACTAATGTTAGGAAAAGAGTTAAGCAAGTACAGTACTTCTCCAATGGGATCAGTTGAACTGGGCGGCTAGCTACACATTTTATATGTGTAACAGAGGCCTAGCTTGATTCATGGAATCTTCTGGGGTAAAAGCCATTTGAAAAGTGCCTTTGAGTGGAGAATTGGTGGAAAGCACCTCTACCTATTCTGTTTCCACTCCAAAATTCATCTTCCTGAAATAACCCTTCTTAAAAAAATGCCCTTGCTTTTGAGTTCCGCTATGCACATGTATTGACAGTAGCCCTTTAAATGTTTTTGGATGGCTGGATAGGAAGAGGTGAGATAATGACTTTACTGACCCACTCAAATCAACCCTCCGTATGCTGCAACTACATAGCTTCCAGAAAGATGTGGAAGTCTTTAGGTTGAAATTCAGCTTACCTACCCCTGGTGAAATACAAAGTGAATCCATTGACAAGCAAATTGCCAAAAGGATGATAAGGAAGCATACGTGTAATGACAAAATCATATTGAATGCTTTTATTCTTAAGTAATGGTGTCCTGTGGCATATAACTTTACTGCTAATTTGCATAATAATTCTTATCTAATCATTAGTTCATATTATTTTCATTCTTATAGAGGGTATTGGAATCTGGTTACCTAGAGCAAACTTTAGTAATCAGAGTGAAAGGGTGTTGCTGAAAAAGTGAGCTAGATCATTTCAGGGTTCCACTAAAAGGTATTTCAACTTCTCTTTGGAGAAGGCACTTCAGCCTGTTTCTCCAACATGGTTCCCCAATTGTATCACCATATACAATTTTCAGGGGCTGTCAAGGGAAGGGGGAGGCAGCAGAGTTGCACACACTTAAATCCAGATCAAACTTCCAATCCAGAATGTTGACACTACATATACTCTATTTTCCTTCTGAAGAGTGTTGAGATTGCTTTTATAATCTTTTAAAAAAAAATCAAGGTGCTTCACAAGTGTGCGTATATCTATTCCTTGCTTCATAAATCAGTTTTAAGTCGAAAGCTCATTAATTAGGCAAACACAGAAACAGGAAATGACAGTAACTTTCCCAGACTCAGAAGGCATATGGCCTCTTATATGTCTTAAGTGTATACTTAGATCTGTGGAATTTGCTGTGATGGGTAGGAGTGGTAACTGCCAATATGGATGGCATTAAAAAGGATTGGCCATATTCATGAGGGAGGATATCTCTAGCTCTACTAGCCTTGTGGTCTATATGTGCTGCCTCCTTTATCAGAGGTGGCATGCCTGTACACGCCAGTTGCCAAGGAGCTTTGACAGGTCTTGCCCCCATTGTGTCTGAGGGATCATGTGGGCAGCTGATTTGCCACCATGTGCAGAGTGCTGAACTGGATAGACCTTTGGTCTCATCCAGCATGGCTGTTACATTTATGTTCTTAAGGTCACCTGTTAAAATGAGCTGGTTCTTCCTTTAAATTCAATGGTAACCGGTACACTAAATGGATTTCTGAAAGTGAGGCACTCATAGGTTCTACTGCCCTGCTTTTCCTTCCAGTCCAATAAACGCAGAAGCTGAGAAACACAAACATGTAGGACAAAAATAGAGAATACTGGACATGCTTATAATATTTATATTGACTGGTTTTGAGACTTGAGAGCAGGGAGAAACAATCTAGTGTTCTAGAGAATTCTCGTAACCCCTGATCACTGGCAATACTGGCTGTGGCTTGCTTATGGAAGTTGTTCAAAACGCATAGGGCTACAGTGGTACCTTGGCTCACGAACTTAATCTGTTCCAGGACTCTTGTCATGACCCGCATTGGTCATGAGCCAAGTTAAATTGCCCCATAAGGTTCAATGTAAATAAGGTTAATCCATTTTGTAACTTTTTTTTAATCAGAAAAATGTAAAGCAAAGTGAGGACGACGACGACGATCATGGCCATCTCCCCGCCCCCCCCCCCTTAGCATGAGCGTGGCCATCTCCCTGCCCCCCCCCCCCAGCATGTCTGTGATCACACCCCTCATCCCTGCAGGTGCCTGTCATCCCGGCGTGCTGTAGGAGGGAGAGATGGGCGTGCATGTGGGCGTGCTGGGGGGGGAAGACGGGCGCAAACGCGGGCGCACTCGGGGAGGAGAGATGGGCACGATCGTGCTGGGGGGGAGATGGCTGAGATCACGGTTGTGCTTGTGCCGGAAAGACAGGCACGATCTTGGCCATCTGCCTCCAGCACGATCGCGGCCATTTCCCCACTCGAGATGGCTGCAATCGCAGTTGCCACCCAATGCGGAGTTCACGACCTGAGTCAAAATTTTTATGAAATTTTTGTTCGCAACCCAATTTGGTCGTGAACTGAGGTGTTCGTGAGCTGAGGTACCACTATATTAGGATGTACTTTATAGCATCTCCCACCTTCTCTCATACAATTGAGGTGGAAAAAGTTATTAAATATAAAATTATCAATCACATACAAAGAAAAAACTATCAGTGTCTAGTATTCGTGATGACTATGTCTCCTTCAGTATCAGAAACAGTATGCCTCTCAGTACCAGTTGCTAAGTAACATGATTCGGAGGTGGTGTTATTGTGACCATGCTCGGCGTATAGGCTACCCGCAAGCATCAGGCTGGGCACTGTAGGAGCAGAATGCTGGCCTAAACAGGCCTCTGGATTGAGGAAGCAGGGCTCCTCTTAAATGGGTATGTCATCCACTATGTCTGGAAGTACCGGGGGCACAAATTTCAAAGAACAGCTTAACAAGTAACCGAGTAGCTGAAATTTAAAAGATGATCATTAAAAGGATACACACAGGCAGTCCTCTGACTGGTATAGTAAAAATTGCCACACCTCTAAATATTTAAACACAAAATAAATAACATTAAGAAGCAAATATTGTCAAATTAGTCTTATCCAGTTAACTAACACATTTCATACAGTGTTTACCATACCATTGGATAGGTAGACCATGGGAAAGTGTGGAACTTGTAAGGACTACCATGAAATCTAACCTCATAATCAATGGAAAGGAAGCAAGAGACATTTGTTAAATAGTCAAAATTCCACATATTTTTTAAAACCTTTATTTTTTCACAATTGTTTTTTGTTTTAAGTATTCTCTTTCACATGCAGTGATTTTATATAAGACCAGATGTGTCCAAAGCCAGAATTCTTTCTTGGGACTAATTTTTACATCTCTTGAGATATGCAAATTAAAAATAATTTAAAATTTGCTGCTGTACATTGACCATCAATTTATTCACAGTTGAACCATTATTTACATAACACTCTCCTGAGAATTATTCTATTAAGCTTCAATTTGAGCAATAATATGAGTTGCTTAAGTAACAACAGTTACTTTAGAGCAAATAATTGTGTTAAGAGAAAGAGGATAGTTATTTCGTATCAGAATCAAGTTTCTTCTTGTAATTCTTCATCTGTAGAAGATGCAGCTGATAGATATGTTGACTCAGCAGGCAATTCATTTCTGTTATCAGGTGGCAGTGGTGCAAAACTTGCAGGCCTTGGAGGTGGATATTGGGGAAAAGGCCTCATAGGATGTGGACCCCTTACTGTTTAAAAGGAATGATGAAAATCATTTTAACTCTTATTCAGAATGGAGCTACTTTCTTACAAATATAATTCAGACACACACACACCCAATCAACAGTAGTTGTAACCATGAGTCTAGGGGTGGCTTTAGAAACTTAGTTACCAATTGTTGCACAGGGAAGCAGGAACAAAATTAAATGGCTAATGCTTCAATAATACTCATGTTTATCAACTTTACCAGTTAAGTGACTGTTGTTAAGGCCAAATTCACAAGGGGCATTACATAATCCATACTGTAAAAGCTTTTCCCACTCTGCTTCAGAGCAGGACTACAACTAGCACCACTCTAGCCAGCATGCCTACTAGAAAGAACCATGGGGGAGGCTGTTCTAAAGTGTCCAATCTATACCTCTAATGTTTCATTTTTGCCTCTTTACCACAGAGGTATTAGAACATTTGACAAGGAACAGAAAATAGCAGTTAAACAATAGAATTCCCCAAATGATTTACAACCAGCAACTGCCTTCAAAATGTTAGGAATGTCTTTCGTGACCAGAAGCTGACAGAGATTTGAGCTAAAATTCAGCAGTATCCTCTGCTAAAAATACTTTCCTTCCGCTCTTAAACTTGGGAGGTTTACAACATTAACAGTACTTAGGCAGAATAAGTGAATTAGCTGCTCCTAAAGGTAACTGAAAACAGTAGAATAAACATAGCCAGGAATAGCTTAAGCCCCAGTAATTTCAATGGAATTGAAGAGGTACAAACAATTCCAAACACTCTATGAATGCATTTATTTATGAATGAATGAAATATACTGTAGGAAGAGCAAGTACATACTTGGCAGTAGAGGACGTGGCAAGCCAGCAAAATCCCTTGGAAAATATTCACGAGGTCCATATACAGCACTAGGAGGCATTGCTGAAAATGGAGGATGCCTCATATAAGGTCCTCTTGGGTCCAGTGGCATTAGAGGTGCTCTCAGTAAGGGAAGTGGTGGAGGCACAATTCCTGCTCCAGAAGTTTCACTTTCAGTTGCAAGAGATTGATCTGTCATATTGTGCAAATTCTGAGAGAAAAGAACAGGCAAGTCAATATTTGGAAAGGAGCTGACCAAGTTCACATGTCACAGTGACACATCATGAGCTGAGTTCTATCCATTCATGGTGATGCGTATGTCACTTATAAGTCACTTCCAGTTTTTGTAAACTGTTCAGGACCTGGACTGATGGGCTATCTAGGGGCCAAACAATGTAGCTGTTAACTCGTGGTTTGCTGTTGGATGAACTGTTGGATGAGCTACTCAAGAATGCCTGGGTTTACGCATCATGATCACAAACCCTGGTTGGGCAACTGGAGGTTGTTTACTGAAAATGGAAGTGATTCATGTACATAAGAGGCCAGGTCAAAGCATCAGCCCAATCCAAACAAGAAATCCAAACAAGAAATAGAATGACAGGAATGTCATGCAGGGAGAAGGACAGGGGGAGTGCATCCCTGTTGGTTCTCCTGGACCTCTCAGCGGCTTTCGATACCATCGACCATGGTATCCTTCTGGATAGACTAGCGGGATTGGGGGTTGGAGGCACTGCTTTGCAGTGGTTCCGCTCCTATCTCAACGGTCGATTCCAGAAGGTGGTGCTGGGGGACTATGTCACTCTGCCAGGGCAGCTATGCCATGGAGTACCACAGGGCTCCATTCTATCTCGTCTGCTATTTAACATCTATATGAAACTGCTGGGAGAGGTCATCAGGAGGTGTGGGCTGCGGAATCATCAATACGCTGATGATACCCAGCTCTACCTCTCGTTTTCCACTAATCCAGGTGAGGCAGTGGCTGTGCTGAACCGGTGCTTGGCCGAGGTAATGGAATGGATGAGGGCCAATAAACTGAAACTCAACCCAGACAAGACGGAGGTCCTGTTGGTTGGCGGATTGGGCTTCGGAGAGGGTGGATTTGACCTGGTCCTGAATGGTGCAACACTCCCTCTTAGGGATAAGGTCCGCAGCTTAGGAGTACTCCTTGACCCGGAGCTTTCTTTGGAAGCTCAGGTGACAGCGGTGGCGAGGAGCGCCTTCCTTCAGCTTCGGCTGATTAATCAGCTGCGCCCCTACATGGAGTACGACTGCTTGGCGACGGTGACACACGCGCTGGTGACTTCCCGCCTAGACTTCTGTAACGCGCTTTACGTGGGGCTTCCCCTGAAGACGGTCCGAACACTTCAATTGGTGCAAAATAGAGCTGCCAGGTTGCTGACGGGGACGGGGCGTTATGCTCACATGACTCCAGTCCTCCGTCAGCTTCACTGGCTTCCCATTGAAGCCCGGGCCCAATTCAAGGTGTTGATTATGACCTATAAAACCCTAAACGGCTTGGGTCCTGGCTACCTGAACGAGCGCTTACATCCGTATATGCCCGACCGCCCTTTGAGATCTGCGGGAGAGTCCCTTCTCCAGGAACCCTCCATGAAAGAAATTAGGAGAGTAAGTACTCGGAGGAGGGCTTTCTCTGCGGTGGCGCCCAACCTATGGAATTCACTCCACAAAGAGGTCCGCCTGGCACCGTCGTTACTGGTTTTTCGGCGCCAGGTAAAGACCTTTTTATTTAAACATCATTTTAATTGTTAAAATATATGATCTGGCCAGGGCAACTTCTTCTTCCTTCTCTTTTCTCCTCCTATATTATTTATTTACTTATTTTATACTTATAATATTAATTTTATATTATTATGTAACTCAGTGTATTTTTTGTATTTTTGTATTTAATGGTAATTTATTATGTTCTATTGTATTTCAATGTATTTTATTGTGTTGTAAGCCGCCCCAAGGCTTTGGCAAGGGGCGGCATAGAAATGTAATAATAATAATAATAATAATAATAATAGGCTAGTATTAAAAATAAGTTAATTAAGATGCTAAGAGCAGTGATGGACCATTTAAGCTTTTAACATGTTGTTGTTACTAGTCGCAAAGTTGTGTCTGACCCATCACGACCCCATGGACAACATTCCTCCAGGCCTTCCTGTCCTCCACCATCCCCTGGAGTCCACTTAAGCTCACACCAACTGCTTCAGTGACTTCATCTAGCCACCTCATTCTCTGCTGTCCCCTTCTTCTTTTGCCATCTGTTATTCCCAACATTAGGCTTTTCTCCAGTGAGTCCTTCCTTCTCATTAGGTGGCCAAAGTATCTGAGTTTCATCTTCAGGATCTGGCCTTCTAAAGCACAGTCAGGGTTGATCTCTAGGACTGACCAGTTTGATCGCCTTGCAGTCCAAAGGACTCACAGAAGTCTCCACCAGCACCACAATTCAAAGGCCTCAATTCTTTGGTGCTCAGCCTTCCTTATGGTCCAACTTTCACAGCCATACACTGCAAAAGCTTTCAACATACCTTTAGTGTAAATGACCTTTGGCAGTATTCCAGGAGCATAAATTGGAGAAATGAGTGTGTTCCCCCTCCCCAAATCTTATGCTAGCTTAAGTTAATGATATACTATTAGATGTCACTTACGTTAGAATCTATGAGCCCTCTTCTGTAAATGGAAGATCTCTTATCTATAGAAGATATATTTGATCTATTTCAAATCCAGTGGAGACTTCTGCTAGAGGAAGTGTGTGTGCTTGTGTGGGGTGCGGTGGGGGAGGTTTCACAGATTTCCTCTCTCCTCTACAATCATCTGTGCTGGGTTTCCCGGACCCCTTAGTGCAAATTTTCAGGGATTTAAAGGGCTGCAGGGAGTATGAAGTATTGGCTTACACCCAATTTCACTGGCCAGGAGCATCCTGTGAGTGGACCTGTACTGACACTCCTAACAGATTGTTAATGATTTATTTTTAAACAAGCTCTCTTGCTTAAGTTCTCTGGAAGGTTTACAACAAAAGTCAGGATCCAAGCCAATGTCATCCTTGTGCCAAAAAATCTAAGCCAGTCATTCTAACTAACCATTGCTTTGGTGTACTTTTATTTTTTTTGTTCTTCTGCATTGTAAAGTCAAGCAGTAATTGAGTCAATCGATTAGCTATCACTTAGCTAGCATTTACTCAGTATGTGGAAATGTGCAGAAGGTAATAAAGGTACACTAAACTAAAAATTGTACAAAATCGGTTTGAAGTATTGCCAGTATCAGCAGTAATGTGGCGAACCTAATTGTTTTAAATGGGATTCAATAAAAAGTATTCCCAGTCCTTTCATCTACTACTTACACTATCATTGGGATGATCTTTCATTCCATTTCCAGTCAGGTTCATTCTGGAGTTATTTTCAGGTGCTTGTCCATCTGGTTAAGGGGGAAATATCCAACATATACGTTAGCATTAAGCAGCCTCCTGAACACATTTCCTCCCAAGAACAAATGGATGTAGAAACATGTCAAACACGATGGTTGCACACTTTTATTAAATACAGCTGGCCGGTGAGAATATACTAATGCTTTTATGCACTTTAAAAACTGATGCCATCCTTGCTCACACTCAGTTTAAGCTTCTGTTTCCCAACTGAAGCAAAACCTTAAGGCTACCTTAGAAAAGATTTACTGGGCAAAAATTACGAAACTTCTAAGGTGCAAGCACCGAGAATATTGTTTAAATGTCTATGCTGGTTTCCAAGAGCAAGGATGTAGTAAGGTTTTCCCCCCAAAGTCTTAATGTTTTTGCCATCTTCTGTTAAGTAGCTTAGATGAAAGAATTTTGAAGCATTAATTCAGGTTAAATGTATTGGGTTGTACCTAATTCCACTCATGCCACTCATCTTTTTTTTCCTTTTGCCCCTCCTGCACCCCCCAAGAAATCTATTCCACCAGGAACACCACCCCCCCAACAGCTTTCCAGAGAGGCTTTTCATGGGTGTAGACCAGGGGTCTCAAACTCGCGGCCCACGGGCCAATTGCCGGGACAGGTGGGGCACAGGGGAGGGGCCCTGCGGCCTTCAAAGCACCGGTGGCGCCCGGGCCGGCCACGGGATAAGCAGCCCACCACCACCGCGGTGGTGGAATTCTTGATGCGGCCCAGCCTCACCCAGACTCTACTTCCAGCGGCCCCCAGGTAAGTTGAATTTGAGACCCCTGGTGTAGACGCTACAGAGCTTATTTGGGGTGCCTTTTGCTTGTGCAGTAATTGCATACATCCACTTTCTTCAAAGAGGAGCCACACCTAATGTAAGGATAAAGTTGTCATGATACCTTTCTTAAGGAAAGCACAACAGTCTTATCAAACTAAGAAATGCATGGACATTTCTTAACTTCCACACTGCCTGTTTTGGGAATCACAAATAAGGATTTACAGCTGGCTTTACAGAGAATAAAGAATATTAACATCAGGATAGGGTATTGTTGGCATTATCTGATGTGTTACCAACAAGAGAACAGAAAATGCTAAAGTCTTTGAGGGGCTGAGTTTTGACAACTCTCTGGGTTTCAGCCTAGTCAATTCTAAAGCATTACTTTTGCAGCCAAATTCACAAAAAATTCCTTCATTCAGGCACATAAAAGAAGGGATTCTTACCTGCTTTATCAAAAGAATGCATGTTATAACTTCTTAGTTCTGCTGGTCCTGAAAGCCTTCCAGAATTTGGGGGACCGGAATACAATTTTTCTGGTCGTCGAGGAGGAAGAGATTGCTCATTATACAGCTGACCTACCATTCAATAAAAGTGCAATTTATTTGTTTTATTCAGCAATGCCTGTCAGCCCATTTTACCCTGTGTCTGTTACAAAATATACAAGTTAAAACATTAAGGATATCAACTTCCATTAATTAGTTAATGCAAATCTGACTTGTAACTCCCCCTATATGGACAGTATTCTAACATCTAGCCAATAAAGTGCTGAAATCTTGAAGCAGAGTTATTAAAATTGTAATATAGCCATGGTATGCTATAAAACATTTGAAGCCAAAACTCCTGGAGGAAAGGGACTATGGTCTCTCCAGATGTTACAGTAAGATCCATTTCACACTGGGGTTCAGCAATAATTCAGTTTATAATTGGCATGTAAAATTAAACATGTTTTCCAAAGGTTTCATTACCTGCATAAGGCAGATTTACTCTGTGATCTCTATCCCATGGAGGTGACAAAGATCCAGTGTTAGATGGTGGTCTGTGGGGATCAGAATTCATCTCTCCTCTTTCATTACCAACTTCATAGGCACCAGTGTTCCCTGGTCCTCTCGATCCTATTTGAACAAAATACGATAGATTCAATCACTTTTGGCACCCACTAGAGCAATTCTCATTGAACCCACAAGTATCAAGCCATAATATCTCAATGAGCCAGTTCAGATGCCATAACATGTCATGTCTTATTATGGTGGGAATGAGCTGCAGCAAACCTTGGGCTCATGAGATTCTTTTCCTGGTGCAGCTGAGCTTTCATGTTTCCATGAACCACAGCTTGTTTCATCTGCACCCAACAAATAGTGGTTAAGCTTACTGTAGTATGTTGGAACATACTATCTTTGTCATACATACCACAAACCATAATTAAGATTAACCACATTTTGTTGGGCTCCGACAATGCAAGCTACAAATCATGGCTTATCATGACATTTGAAGCATTAATGAGAGGTTGTCAAAAAACTCATGGTCCTCAGAAGCACCTTCTTTTAGTAAGATGCTGTCCTGTGCAGAAGAGGTGCAACTGCTCAGTCACAAGCGCAGTAAATACTAAGCTGCTTTGAGAAAGAAAAAGCATGCACTCAGAAACAAAGTCTACATTATATTCAGATTCCTCTCACTGAGCAAAGAAAGAAAGAAAGAATGTTAAAGCTTTTCCATCACCCTAATCAGTGTTGGCAGCATCTTGGCAAAGACCTCTTTTCCTCAGGGCTCAATCCTGCCCCCCCCCTTCTGAGCTGCATGGAGTCACCCCATCAAATGCATTTTTCCTTAAGGCATGCTACATCATTAAAGTCAGAAAACAGCTGAAAGAGATTAGAGGAAGGTTGTCTGTCATTTAGAAGAGAGTGACACCCTTTTTAAGCAAGTAGGGGCAATATTTTCAACCACATTAGAATGTCTTGCATGTTGATTAATGATTCAGGTTCTTGACATTCTTCTGATGTACAGCTTCTCTGGCTTCAAGGTAGTGTTTTCTATTAGTTTGTCACCTATTCTGTTGTACTGAACACCAGAAATTTCAGAGTATAGCTACACATTAAAGCCAGCAAAGTGACAGGTTTCCTCTATCTTCTCCAACAAAAGCCAAAACAAAAATGAACTCACTCCTAAGAATATGCAGTCCATTTTCATAAGTTAAAAACAAAACCCTTCATTGCTTTTTCTGTTACGATCAACAGTCAGAAGTGCAAATAAACTCATAAATCAGGGATATGAAAGACCTACTCTTTCTTTTTTAAACTTTAAAAAGTGCCACATGGTTCACTTTATCAGTCAAATAATGACTGGCATTTTTAAAAAATGTAAATTTTGAAAAAGCAAAAAACATTGTGTGGGCATTCACATCAATCTCCAAACAATAAAAGAAGCTGCAAAAGCTATCAAACAAAACACCAAATAAAACCCTCAGATATTGGCCTGAGGGGGAGATCACAAATCAGAAAACAGCTCAAAACAGATTGTCTGCTCATCCTGAGCCCCCCCCCCCCCCGCAAAAAAAAGCCACTATGAGCAGAGGGGAAATAGCCACAAGCACAATGCTAAAAACACTGCAGAAGCACTAATGGAAATGCAATTTTAGTTTAAATTTTCTCAGAAACAGCCCTTGTTAGAGGCATAAAGGAGCTCTTCCATCAGTCAAAGCTTTCTTCTGAATGCAGAAGGGCACTTTTGAATTGAGCCCATTTTTAAGTAAAAATAATTTTTAGAACATAAAATCCTGAAGTCTTATCTGACAGCCAGTGTGGTATAGTGGTTAAGAGTGTGGGACTGGGACTCAGGAGTTCTGAGTTCTAGTCCCCACTCAGCCACGGAGCTAACTCAGTAACTTTGAGCCAGTGACAGACTCTCAGCCCAACCTACCTCACTGGGTTGTTGCTGAGAGGATAAGACTGAGAGGAGGAGAAATATGTAAGCTGCCTTGAGTTCCTTGAGAGGAAAAAAAAGGCAGGATATAAATATAATAAATACAAATAGTACCTGCTACTGCTACCCTAAACTATCTGCCAGAGATCATTTATGTGGCTAATTTAAGTTTATGCTTGGTAGGATTCATTTTAGCATATTTTCACTTCTTTTTTGTGTACTTTCACAGATCCATCACCAAGAAAGGAGGGATAGACTAAGAGGAGAGAGAATCCATAATAATTAAGCTTTCAAATTTAACAATTGTACCTCTTCCTCCTCCACCTGGAAGCACAGGTGAAAGTCTTAAAGGACCCTCCAATAAGGTTGGGGGGGAAAGAAAAGCTCTTGTTTCAGATGAAGGTCTGCTCATTGGTGAGGGTCCATATGGGGATTGCTCTGGAACAGTTGAAACAAAATGCTAAAATTCACAAGGTTAGAGTTAATGGGTGTATATATAAAATAACAGTTAATGTCTCACCTCAGGTTCTAAGTTTGAAACTAACTTGGGTCACAAGAAAAATCCATCTGATGCTTTTATTATCAGTCCCAGAATAAAACAACTAAAAAAGTCATTTTTAGGAATCTTCCAATGATGCTTCAATTTTATTTTATTTGCAAACCGAAGAAAGATTACAGCAGGAATAAAAACTATGCCATTGGTGGCACAAGTCAGTTAAATGCAAATAACAACTGCATGCATCAAATGCTCTGTTTCCAAAAGAATTTCTGTAAATTTTGTCAGGACCTCTTTATAGTACAATGAGATGCACAATTAATAAAGTAACATACCTCGGCCAAATGCTCCAACTGGAACATCAAAGGCATAAGGATCTTTTTCCAAAAGATCATATTTAAATTCTGCTGCTGTTAATCTGAAGGAAAGAACACACAACACAATCACCCTTCCATGTATTTTTTTTCTTTTAATTCTATTGTTCAGCTGATGCAAAAGGTTTGAGGAGCAAATCAGACTGAATAGTCTGATCCAAAGTTTATAGTGTAAAAAAAAGGCAGAACAGAGTTGCTATGATAATTCTGTAAATGAGCTGGATCCCGAAAAGCACCAGCATTACAAGCAGTGGGGTGTTCCTTGCTTTCCTTCTGCTGCAGCCCCAACACATATACTGCCAAGCTGCTCCTGAAGGGCAGAAGACTTTGCAAACCCGTGCTGAGACTGTCAGGTGAGGAGAACATAGGGAAAACTACTGGGGGATGAGCTGGTGCAAAGCAAAGTCCTCTCTTCTTATATAAAGAACCCTAATGATCCCAGCCATTCTGTATACTCAGGAGCATATGTCTAGCATGGCCCTTGAAAAAGCTGAATTCAGTTCACTAACACCGAATAGTCATTGTTACTATGTATTTCGGTTTAATCCAGAAGTAGCAGCAAAACGAACAAACACCTTAAGTTACCCTCCAGTTTTAAACACATTCACAAAGAAGCAGGTATACTTAGTATTGCAGTTGGCAACATAAGCCAGATTTTTAAAAGCAACCCGTAACTGGATTCTGTAGCTCAATGACCTTGCTATAAGCACACAAGAGTGGCCAAGCAGGCCCATTCTAAAATCCTACATGTCAGATGAAATTCTATCAGACCCACTGCTGCTATTGAAGTGGACAAACACAATTTTACCAGTTTTATGATGGCCAAAAATGTTATAAGGATAGCACATGAGTGATTTTGTTTACTGGTGCCATATAATGAATGAATTATTATTTAGTACATAAGTGAAACTGTGTTTTTCAGCAGGAAATATTTTATACTTACTTTTGCCTATTGTCCAAGTTTTCTTTTCTTTGATCATTAAGTTGTCTTTCAGCTGCCCGGGCTGCCAGCTATTTTAAAAAAATCTCATCAAATATCACAAAAAGTACAAGAAACATTTCCAGTTGAAAGTTTGTCAGTTTCTTACTTCCATCCTAGAACTGCAGTGTATTAGGAGGGCCAGAGGTTAATTTAAGGAACTCTAAGGGATGTATACGAAATAAGTTCACAATCCTAATTCAGCAGGATTGTGATTAATGGCCACATTCTAATGCTCTGCAGCTTCTACATGCTGGAGTACTGGACCACTGTGACTACATTTAGGGTCAAAATTTGAATCTGGTTCTTAATATCTTGCTGCTTGCTTACACTCAACCTGTGGAGCTCAGCGGGTGGCAACAAGGAAGAGGATGTTTTCTGTGGTGGCTGTCCATCTTTGGAACAACCTCCCAACTGCAGCTCACCAAAATTTGCCATCTTTTCAACACAAACTTAAGAAAACCCTCTTTGCAAAAGTCTTTAAAATCTCCCTGGTCACCCAAGGGCCTGATGGGTTTATTCCATCAGGAAGGGTGCCTTTTCCCTTTCTTCTTAGTCAGGTTTTAATGTTATTTTAAATTAAAATTTTAAATTTTTAAAACATTTTAGTGTACTGTATTTTATTGTTTTTATATCTTGTTGTGAACCAGAGAGCTTTGGCTACAGGCGGTATAGAAATGAAATCAACAACAAATAATCTGATCCAGTTATTACTGGCAGACAAGGAAGTTCTGAAGAGCTAGTAAAAGTTCCTTGGCCCATAAGAGCATCTTTATTTATTCTAAGAACATTCAAGAATAGCTAAGAGCTTATATACTCAAATAAATAGGAGAGCCTCTCTACATGGGTTAATTACCTTGTGCATTTATGTATACATGGATCTCTGGATTAGGGCAATGATATTCACAAGCATAGTATTATATGTCCCCATGCATTAAAACCTAAGCCAAATTTCATTCTGGTTTTTACATTTAAAGATACATATTCATACTTGGTAACAGGTTTTGCTCTGCAAATAATACATGATTAGGGGAAAAAATGTAAGTGTGTTCCTAGATGGTGTAGCTGCTGGCACCTTCACCACCAACAGGTTACATGGTGGTACTACCATTGTCACTGGTAAAAAGAATACACTGTGTTCTATCAAGATTTATAGAAGCAGAAGTAGTCTAAACTAGTGATTGTTGTGGAAGCCACCAATGCTAGCTGGTACATTTTCCTTTCACGTCTAGTTTATTACTGCTTGGGAAGTGGCAGGAATCCAATGGAGGGTGAAAGTCCAACAGAATTTCTTGGCTCAGTCCCATAGATTCAATGCTATCAACCCTGTGTTGGTGATGTGAGTCAAGCCAACACAAAGACTTCCGTTTTGAAAAGGGACCATGATTTGGTGTTTTTTTTTTTAAATAGAGGACATTTGTGCAAAATTTGGGTCTGTATTCCACAATTCGCACAAATTTTGGAATAGCCTGAATTGTGCACAAATCTCAAATTAACTGTCAGAAAATTCAAGATGGCTCTGGGTGAGTGTGTGCACTCATATATGCACTTAAGTTACAAGAAACAATACCTCCACAAATGCAGTGAGTCAGTCTCAATGTAATTGTACATATAGCTTTAGAGATACTTAGTTCTCAGCTCCAAATCTGTGCAAATATTTAGACTGTATCTTGGAAGTCAGAATCTCCCATCCTGCAACTTGGCCCACTTTTGGCTGTTGGGCTTGGAAATTGTTCAAAGTCCATCAAGGTCAAATGAAATAAATTTACTGGATATCCCTAAAGTCTACCATACTAATGTAGCTGGAAGTACAGATGGATGGATAAATGGATGGATAGATGCTTTTTTGTTCCACTGACCACAATGTTATCACAGAACAGGCTGTTTTACTGTTGGACAAAGGCAGCACAGAACAGTGAAAGTATTTATTGAAATAGCATTGAAACAATACAACATTTTAAGGAGACATCTGGCTCAAAAGATTCCTTTTTAGGAGAAGAGACTGACTGCTACTGCAAAAGAATGATTCCAAAAGTTATGTTTCAGTGGGGAATGTGTGCAGCAGCCTTGCCCAACCTGGTGTATTCTAGATGTGTCAAGCTACAATTCCCATAATTCTAAGCCAGTATGGCCAGTGGCCATGATGGCTGGGAATAACAGGAACTGTGGTCTAATACACTGGAGTGTGCTAGGTGGATTAAGGATAGGGTATGACATCCCTGGGCACATACTGATTTTAAGCCTGTCTCCTTCCATAAATTTGCATTCTTTTAAAAACGTAAGAGCAGCTGTGCTGGATCAGATCAAAGTCCATCTGATCCATCATTGTCTTCATATGGCAGCCAACCAGCTCCCCACAGGAAACCCACAAGCAGGACATGAGTTCAACAGCACCCTCCCACCCATATTCCCCAGCAACCAGTGTACATAGGTATACTGCCCTGATGACTGCAGTCAGCATACAGTGATCAGGACTACTAGTCAATGACAGCCTTATTCTCCATGATCCACTTTTAAAAGCATCCACACTGCTGGTCATCATTATATTTTGAGGTCCTGGCTTTCATGGTTTTTGCGGCAGAGCTATCTCAATATACTCATGGTTTTTGCGGCAGAGCTATCTCAATATACTCTCTTTTGTCTGGTAAAATTAGCACTGACACTAATGAATAGCTTGAGAGCCAATGCAGTGGTGTGGTTAAGAGGGTGAAACTGGGAATCAGGCAATCTGGGTTCCAGTCCCCACTCAGCCATGGAGGTCACTAGATGACTTTGAGCTAGTCACTGACTCTCAGCCCAACCTATGTCACAGAGTTGTTGTGGGGTAAGACTGAGAGGAGGAGAATGATGCAAGCCATTTTAAGTAAGGAAAAAGCAGGCTATCAACAGATAGATAGTACATAACTGAAGGGACATGAGATTGGTCCTAAGGACTGTGGGGACCCTATTCCAGTTTCAAGTCTTGCTCTGGAGCTCCTTCTGAAGCACTGCTCAACAACAAACACAGTGCTGCAACTAGTCTTATACCCTGCTGCCTAAGTAAAGAAGAGCAACATGACCAGACTTTTTATCACACGCAAGAAACTGATATGTTCATTTGAAAAAAGCAAGTTAAAAGTGGTTCCATAAATAAAGCAAAAATAATTCTACAGTTCTTCCCAACCAACTAAGATCACAATCTAGATGGGTTAGCAGCATCCATAAGCACACCTGAAACTGCAGGAGACCTCAGGGGCAGATTCCAAAACCATTTCTCGGTTCCTTTGGCTAAGCATGGGAGCACAAAGAAGTGGTTTGGAAGTTGTATTGGGGCAGATGCAATGCAGATCAGAAAAAGCCAGATGCTGCACACACAGACATGCATTTTCCCTTCTGGGACTCAGCCTACAACAGTAAACGTACTTTTCAGATTGATAAAAGTATTTTAGTATTTGTGCCTTACCCAGTTATCATGAGCTTTCTTCTCATGTGACATAACCTAATAAAGACAATGTTTCATAAGTTTATGGACACAAAACTCAAATCAATTAACACTTTCACCTTTTTTTAACTCACGAGGGTCTCACTGGTACATTAAATGTGGAAAGGGTTAGCATCACATTATTTATAAAAACTCAGGGCCATTTTATTGGGTTTTTTCTGTACCATTTTCTATTAATCTCCTTGCCTTTATTTCCCCACTCCATGGCTCTACTTCCACTGCACCCCACTGCATAAATTTCCATTACTCATTTTTTCTTTCCCCCACCACCCGAGAGGCTTTCATTCTACACTACCCCTTTTTTTCCTTCCTCTGTGTCTCATAATGTTCTTACTTGCTCTTTTCTCTGCAAAATCTCTCACTCTCACATATTTTATTTCTTCTGCCTTATCTTTATTCCTCTTTGCTATGTTCATCAGTGATAGCATACAAGGCTTTTTCTTTCCCAACAATTCAGACCAGTGAATCAGTGTGTGTACACTCATCATTGTGCTATAATACCCAAGCAAGCATATTTTGAAATACATCCAACTGAAATTAACAGGAGTAGACATAATATAGCAATATAATTTTGAAGTTGCAAATCAAGTATAATGTCAAATGGTACATGAAATACCAACTACGCAAACAATATACATACCTGATTCTGGTAAGAGCGAACAGTTCTTTCCAGTTCTTCTTCCAGATCTTTAGCTCGTTGTCTGTAATGGAATTACTACACATCAAGAACAATTTTACACAACAGGGTGTCATCACTAAAGATTATCAAGAGACTTCCACAGTAAGTCAGTTAACTTTTTAAAAATCTCATCTAATGTCGAATAGGAAGCAGAATACACCAGTCATACAAGATCAGTTGACATTGATTAAAATCTGCCTGCCGTACTTCCTTTCCATCTGTCACCCCTCTTTTAAAACCCTTTTACTGTGATGGGAGACAGAACTGGAATTGGATGGATATTCAGTGGAAGCTTGATTGATCTGTTATTGCCTGTGAAACAAGTGGGAGGAGAAAACCATTTCAGGATACCTCCTCATTGGGTGGAAAGGTACTCTAGTACATTAAAGGGGGACAATGTACCCAGCCTATCTGTAGGCCATCAAGACTTATAAGTACCTAAGCTGTCTGAAGCTTCTCTCATGCACCCCAGCTCTTAGGGTTCAAGAAACCCCTAGAAAAGAACGGGACATGACATAAATGGCAGCAGTAAGATGAGAAAAAAAGTCAAAATTGGAGGGGGGCTGCTTTGTATGAGCAGAAGTGCCTTCCCGCTTACACAAAACATCTCTGGATTCAAAGCTTCCCTCTGCTCCCCGCTCCCCCTTTTCATAACACTACTGCATACAACTTCAGGATGGAGCTATATTAACTTGCTGATTGGAGATAATCCTCTAAGTACTCCCTATCTGATCCTCTGTGATTTCTCACAAATCTCAAGTTGTTCAGTTGACTATTCAGTTTGATTCCTTCCATTCTGTTGAAAAAAACCATCAACACCAAGCTTTGGCTATTAGGTGGCATAGAAATAAAATTATTAAATTATATTATTAATAATCATTCTACTTATTAATAATAAAATAATCATTACCGGTAAGCATTCAGTTCTTCAACTGCATGATTAATCTTCTCATCAACTTTGGAAAGCTTTTCTTCCTTCTGCAAACGCTCTTTTTCTTCTACAGTTAACTTCCTTTTTTGAAGAAAAAGTAATTTTATATTGGCCAGAGATCAATTATTTTTTTCCATTTTCTTAAGGAATCAAGCTATAATCACAAAAGCCTACAGTTGTTTTTGCAAAACCAACCCTTGGCATTCATGAACAAGCATGAAAGACCAAGCTAGCTCCTGACCAACTGTTCCAGTTGTGTTAATCAACCCAGGACAACTGCATACCCTACTGGATGGCACTGTTTTTGTGGCACCCAAATTGTTACATGAGAACTAGTCCAGTGGGATGTTTCTGATGTGTTAACTGAACCAATGAATCCAAGCTCAGATAGAATTTGATTACAAAACTCTCAGGTCCACCCTGAATCTTATATCTACCAGATGACATCACATCTGTTCTCAAAACAAGGATATTTCATACTAAAATGATTTCCAAAAGCCAGCATGGTGTGGTGGTTAGAGCGCTGGCCAGGGAACCAGGGAGATCTGGGTTCCAGTCATCCCTCAGCCATGAAGCTTACTAGGTGACTTTGGATCAGACACTAATGGTCTAACCTATCTCAGATGGCTGCTGTTATGAGAATAAAAATGGGACTAGGCTAGCCACCTTGGGCTCCACACAAGAGGAAAAAAGTTGTAATGTAATAATAATAAAAGCACAATTTATAGCACAAAATATTTTAAAATTTATATTATCCCTCTCTTGCAAATATTTGATAGGAAAATAAGAGCAAGATTTGACTGTGTATGGACACAAGGATATAAGGCAGTGAAGTAAACTGGTAGACTTAAGTTACAGCCAAATTAATGTCCAAATGGTAATATCTAAACAGAAAGATTCAACTGAAGGTGAATTAACCCACAATGGTTTATTGTGATGTGTGAACAGGCCCACTGGAAAATTACATTTACTGACCAACTATTCTACTATTACAAAATACCTGTGGAGGTTCATTTCATTTTCTTGATATAGCTCTGTCATGACTTTAAGTTTTTGCTGAAGCTTTTGAACTTCACTTTCAAATTTTGTGTTTTCAGACTGTAAGGTGACATGCTCCCTCTGTAAACTTTCAATGCGTTCTGTAACAATGAGAGAGCAAATTGCAAATAACTGATACTTGAAAGTCATACAATGAAGAAAATTAGGTTGAAAAATAAACACAGTATCTTATTCTAATGCCAAACAGAAACATTTTTTCTGGGAAAAGTAGGTGGAAACTTAAAAACCTCCAACTGTCCCTCCAATTGTCCCTCCTTAAAAACCTCCAATTGTCCATCATTCCAAATCTTTAAAAAAATTGTTTTTCACAACCTCATTTCCGTAGGGATCCACACTCTTGAGGTGGAGAGGCAGACATAATCATGGTTTATCAGTTTGGACAGACAACTCCACTAACCTACCCATTGTGGCATTTTGCTTATTTTCCATCATTACTGGATCAACTGGCTTTCTGTTGGACTAGCAGTGAGTCTTCCAAGTGTGTGGACAGCACTGGATACTGTACAGGCACTTAAGATTAATTAGCCTTAATGATTTAATAAATTCTTCTAGTTCAGGTATTTTAAAAACCATATAATTAGTTCCTATGAGAACTAATAACTTTCTGAAGCTGTCTTACTTAGTAAATAATCTTAGTTCATTTCTCATTAAGTTAATGAACTCTAAAATGTTAATTAATAAAAAGTTGTCCCTATAGCTTTGCTTATACATTTTCTTAAACAATAACTTTGGTTACCTGCAAGTTCCTCTTTTACTTTCTTTTCATCAGTTAGCTTTGAATAGATTTGACTTCTTTCAGTTTCCAAGGATTTTAGACAAGCATTTAGCTATGTTAAACAAAATAGATAAATAATTTAAGATCACTATTGAAGGAGAGACTACTGATACTGTTGGCACTTCTAGAATATGTCTTCATTTACTTATGCGTCATTTTCTTACAACAACAATAACTAATGTCAAGACAAAGCCAGGCAGCATTCTATACCTCAATTTAAGTTCAACTTTTATTTTGTAGAGATATATGTCATTAAAAATTCAGTGGCTGGATCAAGAGCTCCTGCAACCAAAATTCTAGAAGAATGCTCATGATAGCTAGAGGACAAAGGAGAGAGGCCAATTTTGAAAATCCTCCCTTCCTCCCAGCATTTCCCTGAAAAGTTTCTTTTCCACGGTTAGGAAGCCTCTGAAACAGTTCTGAGATGGCATGGAGAAAGGAGAGGGAGGAAATAAATGAAAATCATCTCATTCATCTTCTAGTGGAACCTCTACTAGATTAAAACATTTCTGAGGTAACTAACAAAGTAGAGAAATTGCTAATAGTCTTATGACTTCTATCATCGCAATGAGTTAGTTATACACACCAATATGACTTCATACTCAGACCACTCTTTTTGTCTTCTTTTGCTCAATTTTATTCACTACAAGGTTTTAATTTTTTTAATCAAAGTATTGCCTTATTTAACTACCTTTGCAGCATAAATCAGCTTCTTTACAGTTCGTTTATCTTCATCTTCTGGTTCAGGAACGAAGAAGAGAAGAAAAAGAAACAATTACAGGGAAAATCTAATTTTATCAAATACATTTATTACTGTATCTACAAAAGATTTGTTTTACAACTCCCCCCAAAAAGTTGTTTTCTTTTTAAAGAAGTATACAAGTAGACATGGGGCACTGTTCATCTGATTAAGCCTTAGAAGAGCAGTAGCATTTCTGAAACTAGTTTGACATGCTTAACCTGTTCAACAAGAGACGTGCTCCTCAAGATTAATGTCCTTGACTTTTTAGGGTTGTCTATTTTCTTCAGGCAAAGGACCAGAAGGAACACTGGCTTGCAAAACCAGTTCATGTAATTCATACACTATGCAGCCAGGAGGGAGAGCAAGATTCAAAAACATGGGTTTGTTGCTGTTTTTAAACTGAGCCCTGGGTTAAGGGCATCCACTGTGAATTAATCTTACTACCATGTTGCATTAAGAAACCTAGCATACATCAAGTTAAAGCTTTGGTAAAAATCCATTTTATGCACCGAACAGACTGCAGTTCACAAATGCTCATGCCACAGAGCAGGCTTTCCTAACTTGGTGTCCTTTAGACAACTCTCATCAGCCCAGACCTCTGAACATACTGGCCAGAACTAGCGGAAGCTGTAGTTCAAAACAGCTGGAGGTATCAGATTTAGGAAGCCTGTTTTTCATTCCTGTTTGTTGATACAAACATATTTCCAAGGAAGGCAGGTTACAGTTTCGGGATCTGAAAATTATTTATCTTTCTTTCCCCCCTTACATAGGAGTCAAACCATTTACCTAGCTGCTCCCCATTTTCGGTTTCATTTTTGATGTCATTCTCCCAATGGTTGTTTTCAGCAGCAGCATTCTCCCCTACCGCACAACTCCAGTTTTTCATCTTCAATAAGCACTCAGTTAGAGACTGTACAGTGTTTAAAAAACCAAGAATGAATCTTCTTCTCTCCATACAAAACAAATTCAAGATTTTATTAATTGAATATATCAAATTAAGCTACCTGACATTCAAAACTATTCATACCATTTTATGGGACTCTTGTCTGCTTCCTCTGAATATCTTTCCCATGTGAAAAGGTTTTTGCAACTGCATCCACTGTTGCATTAGTTAGATCTCTCGCAATTCAGAAAATGTGAATTTGCAGAACTTAGAGCACACATAGCTCAGCCATATTTCCTTGTTCAAGCAAACCCAAAGGTATAACTGCAGGTATGTTTTCCAGCATTATGAACATGTATTTGATCAGAAGCTTCCTGAATCTCTGAAATATACTTTCACCGCTATCAAAATTGCTGGACTATACATACGTAAAATTTGAGAATGCATGAATCTGAGAATTATGGAAGGCAGCACTGACAGATTCCTTAATAAATCATTGACATTTTGCTGCCCTAATCTTTTCCCTGAAATTAAAGATTCTCTTAAGTAAATCATTTAAAAACAGAGAAGGATGGATTTTATTTAAATCAAATCAATTTAAATCATGATTTAATCACTGGTCAGTAAGACTAGATTTAAATCATGATTTTCTACAAAATTCACATGCATGCTTGCCTTACCCATAAGTAGACAAACTTAATTAAAATATTCCCCAACTGGAGTCTTTTATGACCTGCTGCCTTTATAGGTTTTTTCCTCCAGGAAAAGAATAAAATGATAAACCTCAGACTACACACAAAAAAATCCATAGACTTATGGAATATTCTGCATAAAAGGGTTCACTTTCATTTTTACTGGCTGCCCTTCCCTCCTCACACTTAGCTTCTCGTGCAGAACTATTCCACTCTGAACAATTTTCTTCTAAAAATACAATGAATTTTTTGAAATTTAGCACTGAAGAGGTAAGGGGTTCAATTCTGTCTACATAGAATTGCAAAGGAACAATGGCATTATTCTTTTCAACTCTATATATTTATTTTATTACATTTTTGGAGATCGTTTTCTCCGAGCGAGCAAACTGCTGCCTCCCCACGCGCAGGGCAAGGTGGGCAGCGGCAGGTGTGCACGCAGGCACGGCAAGTGCAAATGGGCATGGTGGGCTGGATCCAGCCCATGGGCCTTAGTTTGCTCTAGACAGAAAAATGACCCAGTGATGACATTGTGAATGGATTAATGGAATTCATTTATACCAAAAATTTAAACATTGCATGAATATACAACCTCATGCTACATAATTAAAAACTAATCCTTATTTCATAACCTTTTGCACTATAATGTATCTTAAATAAAAAACTAAATTTAGATGGATTTTTCCTCAAAAAGCATTTTATTAAAGAAATTCAATTTAAATCAACGAATCAAATTTAAATTTTAAAAATCAGATTTTTTTGAAAATTGATTTTTATCCACCCTGACACACACAATGTTTCAGAAGGGCAGGTGGGGAGACTCCAAATTTAAGCAGTGAGTCCCATTGCTCAGCAAATACAAAAGCATCTTGCCAACATGGCAGTACCTGCTATACCTTCCAGAGCTTTGCAGTTAGCACAAGTGGCTTCCTTAGAAAGCAATAAAACTACAAAGAAAACAGAGTGCTGGCAGTTTAATCAGTCCCTATGAGAGACATCAGAAGCTTTCCAAAGTTCCCAAAAGTAAGCAGTGTGAGCTACAGAAGCTGAGCAGGATTTGAAAGCACATCAAAGAAGAAAATGGAACAGACTCAGCATTCCATACCCACCTCAAAGGATTCGGCAAACCTCCCTGTCATTTATAAATGCTCTTGACTGAACACATATAAACTTCTATAAGAATGAGGGCAATTTTGTGTACTGTGTCTCAGTTGCACTGGGCATTCACAGGATATACATGCACCCATATGAAGAAAGCAAAGTGAGGGCCATGCCAGGAGGATTTCAGCTATTTATAAGCCATGAGAGCAATACTTCCCCAGCATTCATTCATTCAAAACCCTGCCAAGAACTTCATTGCACTGCACTGCAAGTTCCTTACTGGCACATAAAAAAACAGAAAGTGAAACCCAACACTGTTCAATTTACCAGAAAAACATGTACTCTTGAAGGAACAAAACCCTCTTCCTCTGCTGCCTCCCCCCACAAGCCTGCCTCTGAGGGTTGGGGGGGGGGGCATCCAGGAGGCAAGGAAGGAGAGGAAGTCTTATTGTACAAGACAAAGTTTACTGGCACAACTCTGGGCAATCAGACTGAGCTACGGGAAGAAGTTAAATCAAGCCTCTTTCCACTTTTACTTCCTACACAACTTATCACTAAATCACAGGGCTTTTACCTTGACTTGACTTTCCTTGTTTTTAAGAGCTTCATCCATATCTGCTGTGGAGGATTCAAACATTTTTGTTTGTTCATTTAGTTCATTAAATCGTTCATCCCATCCTTCAGCTTCTTGCAACAGCTGAAAGACAAAGTTTCCAAGATTATTACTTAATTTGTAGCTAAAAGGATTACATTAAAATAATAAAGTCTCAACGTTACCATAAGCTTCTTAACACTGACTCAACGATGCAGGAAAATCCAGCACACTCAACTATGTTAAATGTTCTTGACATAATTACAACAAACCATGGTTAAAACTCTTGAAATGTTTTCCCCTCAATGATTCAGAGTATCAGGTTCTCATATCATGGCAACAACTCAGGAACAAGGTTCCTAGGTTATCTGGCAACCTGGAAAAAAGTGGAAGTTGCAGATGCACAGGAGGCAACCTAATAGCTTGCTCTGATGCACCCATAAATAACTATATATGGTTGTTTACACCATATTATTTATTTGAGTTCTATTCTATCCCTTAGCCGGAACAGCTCTCTGGACAGGTTACAGAAAATAATAGTTTAGCTATTGTATACAACAGTTAACTATTATACGCAAACTGAATCATTGTTCATTGTAGAATCTCTTCAACAGTAGCTTTTAAAACATGACATTTCAAGCCAAGCATATTGAACATCAAACATAAGTCAGGGAAAGAATATTCTGACCAATAAGAAGCTAGCAATTTAATGCAGAAAAAATGACAATGTTATTATATATTTATGATTTCAATTTTTATGCCACTACCATTGCCCATGTCTGGGCACCCTGTGTGGCTTAAAACAGTTATAACAACATTTTAAAATAAAAAATACTAAAAACATTAACAAAACATAAATAAAAAATATAACCCAACAAATTAAGATTATTACATTAAAATTAAATAAACAACCATAAATAAATAATATAAACTAAAGTAAAATTATAAACCAGAGTCATGTTAAAACAAGATAATTAAAATCAACTGTTAAAACAGCTGGAGTAAAAGTAGACATGCTAGAAATAATTAAAAAATCCCACTGAGATTCCATGAAGCATCAAGTTGCCTACAGAGCAGGTTGGGAGCCTCTTTTTTAAAATTTATTTCTGTTGAGGGTGAAGTTTCCTTAGGGATCAACTGATAGGGTTGCATGCTTGTAATGGGCAGAGTCAAAACTGAGCTGTGTCATTCCTTTTCTTCTTCTTCCATGTCCAAAAGACTCTTGTGTGAGTGTCAGATCATTCTGACCAGGGATCTAAACTGATCTCTTGCAGAGCACTTTTGAAATTAGGCCAAGGGCTGCATGAAATTAGGACCAGGCCTGCAGGTTGCCCAAATGTACCATAGAGGAGGAAGCATTGAACTAATTTATCCCATGGAAAGCAAAGTCACAAAGCTGAACAATCACATACAGTGGTGCCTCGGCTCACGAACGCCTTGGTTCACAACCAAATCAGGTCATGAACAAAAATTTCATGAAAATTTTGACTTGGGTCGTGATCTCCGCATTGGGTGGCAACTAAGATCCCAGCCATCTCCCCATCCCACCCCCCAAATGGGGAGATGGCCACGATCGCAGCTGCATTCGTGCAGGGAAGGCACAGAGGAGCTGAAGACAGAAGAACATGCTGAACTCCAGAGTGAGCAGCAGAAAGCACTTGCTGAGGAGGATTCCACTGAGGAAGAGGAAGACAGGGAGGAGGTTAGCAGTGATGTGATACAATCCATTAAGAAAAAATGGAATGAGTGCCAGGATTTCTTTGAGAAGCACCACCCCAACATAACTGTAACAAACAAGAGTGTTGAATCTGATGAAAGATAATGTGATCTCTCATTTCCAGAGAATTATGCAGCGCAGGAAAAAACGAGCGACTATAGACAGATTTTTCACCAAAATTGACCCTGCAGCTAAGAGACAAAGAAGAGAGGAAACCCCTGAAAGAGATCTCCCCAGTGTCGTTATGGAAGGGGACTCTCCCTCAAACAATAACCTCCCCCCACCTAGGTTAGTGTTCTCCACTGTACTGTACAGTACTTTGTTACTTAGCTGTTCTTTGTCACTGTGTTTCAAATTTTTCTGATTAAAAAAAATAGTTGCAGAACGGATTAACCTTATTTACATTGAATCTAATGGGGAAATTTGACTTGGGTCACAACCAGAGTCATGGAACAGATTAAGTTCGTGAACCAATGTACCACTGTACATTATTTTAAAGCTAAGATGAGAGTCAATTATTCTTTTAAAGGCCACTGCACACATTGCAGATTAGTAAGGACATACTTGTTTTTCACTTTCATGTAGATGGCTGTTTTCCTCTAAGGCATCTTGCACAGATGTCATCAGTCTCTGTCTGTTAATCTCATACACTTTTAATGTAGTCTTGGTCTAAGTGAAACAGAGCAAAGTGAAACTGCTTATATCATTACAGTTAACAAGGATACATAAAATCATATATACATTCCCACCCCTTTAGCTGGTGCTCCTATTTTTCCAAGATAGTACAGACTGCCTTTAAGCTTACTCTTTGTTACAGTATATTTCCAATCCAAATATAGCAAAATCATGTAATGTTGAGAAAGCAAGTGTATTTTAAGCAATATGAGTTATTTGAATTCCAAGTAATACAAACAAATGCATTTCTAAGCGCAAAAATTGAAATACAATTCTGCATTCATCCACAAAACTTAGCTGTGCTCATGGAGCTTTCCTCCTCCCTGTTAAAGGTGATGCTCTCAAAGAACAACAACAGGTGCATAGTCTTCTGTTCAATTTGCAATTCTCTGTTTCTGTGAGAGCAATGCATGCAATCCCAAAAGGGGAATTTACCTTCTACAGCATTAGTAACATATGTGGTATGTAGTAACTACATATGGCAGGGATCCTCAAACTTATGAATATAGGTGCCAGGTGCCAGTTGAAAGGTACCAGGGATGGGCGCAGGCCACCAAGGTGGTGCGGGTGGGGGGCGCAGGCCAGGTGGGGGGCACAGAAAGGCAGGGGCATGCATGCGCAGAGATCATTTTTTCATGGAAGGCTGAAATGACCTTGGGATTGAAGGAAAGGTCTAGGCAGAGGATCACTTGTCTTTGTGAAAGACACTTAGGTCCCTGTCAGAAAAGAAAGCTTCTAATTCTGAAATGCTGAGGTGAGGTGAGTTGAGGTGGTGACTTCTAGAAAATGGTCTTGAGGATTAGTACCTGAAGAGTAGCAACCCCAAGGAGTTCAAAGGGGCTCTCTTCAGAGTCCTAAGCATAGTGTTCTGGCTCCAAGAGGAGAATATTCAGACCAGAAGTTGGCTGATTAATGAGGGACGGGAACCCTCTTGTCATGAGGGTAGGTTCCCAAGGGACATCCAATTTGTGTACAAGACTAGTTAGTGTATAAAATGACAAGGACAGAAACCAATTTAAAATGTTAATGACAAGATCCAACATTTTGCTAAAATACATGATGCAATTAATTTAATTCATTTAAAGGCATTTAATTTAATATCTAAATATTTGCTTACTTCAGCTACTTGCAACTGGATAGATTTTGCTTCATTCTCTAAAGATTCCATTCTTCTCTGTATTTCTGCCATCTACAAAGATATCAAAAATAATTTTATATAAACATTTCCTTAAGTCTGGTTGGCACTGCCTGACCAAAGTAACTGTAGACTCACATATTGTTGAAATATATTTATTTTTCAAATAATAATATTTGCCAAGTATCTTTTAAATAATTTTACTATCAATTTTATTAGGGCAACACATTGGTTATGAGAAAGAAAGAGTCATATTCTTGGTTTCCTATCACCTTTGTTTACACTTCTTTCAATTTAAGAATAAAGCAAAGCTTGTTTTGCTGATACCACTCACCCACTTGCCTGGCACAAGCAGTAATTCCTTCCATGTATGTAGCTGGCCAGACCTCATTGTTCAAGCCACACTGTGTCACCTAGATTTAACATGGCCATATGGGCAGACTAATAAAATATTTTGTGAGCAACTTATCAAGAAGGCTGAATACAATTTTTAGTATGTCGAAAAGATCTAAAGGCGCAATCAGGTAAACACATTATGCTATTAGCTTTGTGATAACTTATTCATACTAAAAAAAGTATTTCACGTTACCAGGAACAGCACTGACACAAGATGGGGAGTCAGACTGGTCAACCGGTGATTCTTACAAAGATCCCCAGGACACTGAATTAGAGTACCAATGTAAGCAACAAAGGCTCCAATACTAGGAACTAAGTGGTATGACCAAAAGAACACAATGAAGCCTACTTCTAAGTAAACACACAGGGAATCAAGGAAACATTATCTTCTAAGATTTTTTAAATAAGATTTACATCTATTAAAAACCTTGCACGGCAGTAACTTTTTTTCAACCCTACTACAAGCAACAAGAAATAACAAGGTATAAAAATCTGCTCTGGGGATAGGAATCTATTTTTTTACATCCCTGAGTCCAACTTGGTGCCAGGTGTTTACACAGACACCCACCAGGAATCAAACCTGTACGAATGCTGTGCAAGAGAAAGTCCTCTTCCACACATATGACTTGCAGGCTTTGTTTGTGCAACATGTGCTGCAGAGGAAGGTTGCTGATTACACAAGAGGAGATTCGCTAGCAGACACAGACTTCCTCTAAGCTCACTTCTTAAGCAGGGCAGAGCACAAGAAAGAACAGAAGCAAGCCAGGTTCTGTGGGGTCATCACAACAATAATCTACCCTAACTGTTCTATTCTTGTCTTATTTCGCTTTATAAATGTTGTGTGTTGTTTACATAAAAATTGTAACACAACACACACTTTACATCCTGGGAATAAGCACCACTGAACTCAATGGGACTTATTTCTAAATAGACATGTTGGAATATGGCACTGCAAGGCTGCAAACTTATGTACACTTACTCGGGAGGAAGAGCCACTGAATTCTCTAGGACTAAGAACATATGAAAAACTACGCTGGATCACACCAATGGTCCATCTAGTCCATGCTGGCAGAACGGATGCCCACAGGATCCCTCAAATCGGATGAATAAAAGACCTCTGCCTGCCCAAGCTCCTCAGCAATTGGTGTATGCAAGCACGCCACCTCTAGTAAAGGAGAGAGCACATAGCCAGCAAGGCTAGTAGCCAATGATGCCCTCCTCCCTCATGAATCTGTCCAATCTCCTTTTAAAGCCATTCAGAATGGCAGCCATCATCAGTTCCCATGGCAGTGAATTCCATAGCTTAACTATACATTCTGTGAAGAAATATGTCTATTTATCTGTCTTAAGCCTCCCATCAATCAACTTCATGTGATGACCCTGAGTTCCAACACTATGGGAAAGAGAGAAAAATGTCTCCCTCTCCACTTTCCTCACACCATGCATTTTTTTAACCACAGCTATCCATCTCCCCTTACTTGACTTTTTTCTAAGCTAAATGGTCTCAGCTATCGTAGCTACTCCGCACAGGAGGGCTGTTCCAGTCCTTGATCATTTTTGCTGTCTTTCTCTGTACATTTTCCAACTCACTAATGTCCTTTTTCAGGTAAGATAACAGAACACAATTATTTTAAATGTAGTCATACAAAAGATTTGTATAAAAGGAGTATGATCTTGACAGTTCTATTTTCTATTCCTTTCATTTTCATGGTTTAGAAATGGGCTAAAATTAATTAAGGTGCCAATAAAATAATACTTGGATGAGCAAATTAGCCCTCAAAATAGTTAATATCACCATACATCCAGCTCCAGCTCCTTTAATGTTTATGCTAGTCTATTAAGAATGCAATTACGTACATGATTTTACCTTGAAAGTTTTGCAGTTCTGAACTCTATGTATTTTAACTGATTTGGATTTTAGTTTTTAGTTTTCTTCAGGCTATGTTTACTTCATCTTCCTTGTAATAAAATGATTTGAAATGAAAGTTTAAAAAGTAGTTAAAAATGAGGAATCAACTTTCTGCTTTTGCTAGAAACTTCTATCGTGCACAGATAAATTCCCTTAGCTCTGTAATTTAAATAGAAGCTAGATATATTGAAAAATTGAGCATGTTTGAGAATTTGTTAAAGGTATCATTTTCTTTGGAATATGAAGTATAGCATGCTTTTGATTAAAATATGCAGAGTAACTGCATCTCAATAACCTGATATAATCCACTTAAAAAGAGCAAGGAGGACAGGATACTAATTTTAATGTATTACAGAAATTATACTGTTATTTTGTTCAGGAATTATTGGTTTAAATGAAAACATACCAAGTCATCCTGTTCTGATCGTTTGGACTTCTCTTCTTTCAGTTGTTTTTCTAAAGTTGCTATTTCATTCTTGAGTGCAGTGTTTGAATTGCTCAGTTCTTCATATGCCATCTAAAATAATCAAGTTTTGAAAGATTATTTTTGGCTTTTCAGAACTATAAAAGTATTCTAAAAGAGTAGTAGTTACACAACACTTTTAACTGTAATTATCTGACACAATACATTAGGAGCCATTCCATAGATTGTGGCTTCATATTATCCATTTTAAATTATTTGCATATCAAGACTTCATATTATATGGCCTAAAATCCAGTGTCTATGATAAGTACATCCAAAATTAAATTTTGCAATCTTAAGGAAATGCAAATTGAACAATGCATAACATGCTTCATTTTGATAACTGATTTTACTTCTACTACCAGGCTGAAATAGAAGGGACTATTATTACAAGCGTATATCCCACATTTGTCTGGCGAAAGTGTAGGCTGACCATTGTCAAAGTGTAAGAGCTCTGTCTGAGGTAGACAAGCTTTCTCTTTGCATGCCTTACTCTAAGATGTCCTTTGTCAGGACAATGTATGGTGGCCGTTGGGACTGCCTGCACTTCCAGTGCTTTGCCAAAACAGCAAATACTGTTTACAGTTGAATGACTTCAAAAGAGTATTTGCTACTGTCATATCCCATCCGTGACAACCCAAGTGTTCCTCAGAGTGAGGCAAGGGGCACATACTCGACATTCCCACTGATCACTTTTTTGCTGTAGAAATTGTCATAAAAACAAAGAATAACACCCCATAAGTACCAGCAGCAAGTGCTGCTGCAGCCAGCTAATGAAATATGATTGTGGCAGGCAACCATCCAAGAGGTACATGGTGGGCACACAATCCACTGACCTTCCAGATTCACTGCCTGAACCATTTGATTTATAGGAGGGCCAGCCCTAACTCGTGCATCCAAGGACCTTAACAATGAGCAGTGAGTTTAGTAAATGTTTAGATCATAAAAAATAAAACACACATATCTAGGGTTGCAATGCAATGCCCACTGATTTGGTAATAAATGCTCCCTGTCCTTGAACATAGTGAAACTTCTGAACAAACATGCATAGCATCAGGCTATAAAGTACAAACTATTTCATACAGGAAAATATTACACAAGTACTTTTCCATTCAGATTTTACCTTGATGTCTGATGTAGTGGTTGACCCTTGCAGAAGGCTGGCATCTTTCAGGGAATTTTCTAATTCCTCATACTAAAATGAAAATGTCATAACATGATCAAAATTAGAAAAAGAAGTAAGAAAACTGATGGCTACCCTTGTTCCACTACCAAAAATACCTGACATTTTAGGTTTTTTAACAGGTTGAGACTCAGGCTAAACAGACTGCTCCAATCATTAGTAGATTAGCACAGAATGTCATTTCCTAACTGTATAGCTAACATTGCATTTCTAGCAGCAGAAATCCCAATGGATTGCAAGCAGTTGTTCTCAATCAGAAGCACTCCTCAGTATCAAGTTTCAACCCAATATCTGCACATTATTGGAACTGGTATACAGACACCAGGTTGAAATTTGATATTCAAGAATGCCTCAGAAAACAACCAACTGTTTGAAACAAGTTGGATTTCATAATCTATAAGTGCAATTTGAAAGTTTGTTTTCCTTCTCATGCAAGGAACAGTGTGTTAGGTATAAGCAGAAACTTTAGAAATGCACAGGTATTTCAGTGCAGAGCTTATACGTTTGTGTTAAATGTATAAGAATGAGGGCCCACTCCGTTCATGAAAGATTACACTTCTTTAGGACCCTTTACTCTCAGACCTCAATAATACACACCAATGTCACTGATTTCTTCTCATCTGAATCCAGCTCTAAGACACAAATGAGTGCCAAGCAGTCTCCCATCTTGATTTATTAGCAACTAGTTGTGAAGTGGGGCCACTGAACTGACCTCTGAAACATAATCTAGCATATGCTGGTTTCATAAAGAGGTGAAAAAGTTAATGCCCTAAAAAAATGTAACTACTTTGATAAAGGTCTAAGGACCAAATTAAACCTAAGTCTGGAAGACCATGATCAAATCTACTTTTTTAAAGAAGATAATCTGTATGCTTCCCCCAGGGCAAAAAATAGTGTCAGAGGCAGATTTTAAGGTTAAAAAAATGGCATGAGTGAAGGGTACTATCTAACCTGCTTCCATCACAGGAACTTTCCAATCCAAATTCCACTGTCCTTTTTTTTTTTTTTAAACAAAAAACTTTTAGATTACCTGAAACAGCTTCACCTGGTTGCAATATAGAGTTAAAAACCACATCATTCATCAAATTTCGAATATAGTTATGTCGATTACAAGTAGTAATCCTTATCATTTAAAGTCACAAGCATGTGTCATTATTTATGAAATGTTTACAGAAAACTAGATTCTTAGTCTTGCAGTATAAACATCTGTTAGTAAGTATAACCTATTAAATATATTAATACTTTTTGAAAATGTCCTAATACATTTCTATTCCTTTTCCTATGCAGAAAAAAAATCATAGTAGAATGAAATCCCTCCAAAATTTATGCGACTTACTTCCTACAGGTCTACAGTATTTAGTTATACATTCATCCCAAAACAAGCCCTACTGAATACAATAGGATTTTCTTCTTTGTAAATATACAAGGAATTAACTGAACAAATACTATGCACAGCCAATCTGAATAGATGGTTAAAATAATTTGAAAAATTATTATGGAATGTTATATTCTACTACTTTAAAAACTTTAGTAAGATCACTAAAATACATGCTGAGAATTTAAGCATATAATTATAATTACCTCTTTTTTGCAGATACTGAATTTTTCCAGTACTTTACATTTGTCTTCAACTAGTTCAGCAACTTTACCAGCAAGCTGTTTCTCTCTTCCTAAAAAGAGGAAACGCTATATGTGGTAATCTTTAACAAAGAAAAAATGGTTTCAACTCAAATCTTCATCTATGTTCAACACACAAAAGCCAAACTTACCTACATAAAGTCTACTTCTAACCTGCAAAAGAAGAGCAAACATTGCAGTTTGTTTGCAGCAGTAGATGGAACTAAAGCTCAGAGCATAATTAAGTATAAGTACAGCAGATTCCCAGGGCCATGGGAAATAAAACATCAGTACCCTCTTGATTCAGTTAAGAGATCAAAAACACCTTTCAAGATCATGTATCTACTTCCCACAAATCCTCCTTTTAATCATAATTAAGGGAAGTATCCACAGCCATTAACCACAGTTAAAGTTAACCAAGTTCACCAAAGTCACCATGATTCTTAATGGATTTTGGAGATTGTTACTAATTCTGCTTGAGCAAGGAACCTGGTTATCCTCGATCATACTGATTGCTATTATAGCCATATTGCATAGGTGAGGTTACAACAGATTGTGCTGGGGGTGGAGCATCCTACAATCTTCTCAGTACTTATGTCTGCCATCTACTCTGATTAAACACCTTGCAAATGGACATTAAACAATTCTTGCATACAAGTTTTCCCATTCATTCCTCACTACACTCCCTGCAACTCTTCCACATAGGCTTTCATTCCTGTCCCTGCTTGCACACCGGAGCTTGTTCTTGCTTTCCAGCTGTTTTTGTCACTTTCACTATCATTTCCACTAAAACTCCTAATGTATAGTGTCAGACAGATATGGACAAAATAATTTTCCAGCAATGGTAATTTGAAAGGCATAACAAAATAAAAAAATGTGTTCCCAATGAAAGCAGAAATATAGCATTTTGTCATAGTCACTGAAAGAGGACTGGAAGACTATTGTCTTAAATATACCCTGAATAGATAAAGTAACTTAAAGCACAAAAATGTAGCCACAAAAATAAAGGCACTCTAAGCATAATAAAAACAGAAATATTATTAGTTATATTGTCTTCTTGGCAAAACACACACACAGTCTCAAGTCTGCACAATTCTTCAAGCTACATGTTTAAAGGATGAGGGGGAAGGAAGGGGAAAGAGACTGCTGCATTGGGTAATCAACACTTTAACGCAGAGATAAAAAACGTTAGTTGGACAAGGAAGTGAGAGAGTTACATAATTAGAAGTTTAAGAAGTAAGAATAAGCTTGTAATTTTAAAAACTAATTTTGAAAATGTAACCTCAGCTGCCTTGGTAGCTTTAAATCAAAAGCAATTTATTAATATTAAAGTAAACAGAAACTGATAATGTGTCAAATGCAATAAACACTGTAGAGGGTTTTTCTCAATTTAATTTCTCACATATTTCAGATAAAAATTGAAATATTAAATAGCCAAAACACAAACAAGCTATCAGACTTCCTTTTTTTTTAGATTGACAAGACTAACCCAGCAATATTTTTTGGGGGGTGAAATTCTATAACCTAAGCCCCACCACACTGAATTAAGATGTATGTTCAAACAAATAACAATGGCTACACAATTCCACTGTAGCCAGCAGTCTGGCACTAACATTTTGAAAGTGTCATACTCACTGACTGATAGCTCCTGCATATTAGTAGTAGAACAGTAAAAATGGCAACAACAGCACCACAAATCGCAACTTCCCATGGAAAGCCGTAAAGATCTGGACCAGGTCTCATATTTTCAGGCAACGAGGCGACAACCTTTAAGATAGAAAAACAGCAAGTGTTTCCTCCCAATATCTGAAAGGAGCCTTTCTGTGCCTTTGATCATGTGAACTCAAAATTATTTCAGAAAATGACTGTTTACATAAGTCAATCAAAAAATAAATACTTTAGAAAAGCTGAAGAGAGAAAAGGGATGATTATCTTATGATAAATGTATAAATACTGAGTACTACCTATCAGCAAAGCAAACTCCACTATTTTAGTGATTCACCCACAGAGTCTCATATAAGTAGTTTTTTAGATGTAACAGTAATAAGAAGCCCCATATTTGGTTTGGAAATTAACTGGTACTGTTCAACAAAAGTGTAATTATCTTGCCATTAAACATACTCCTAAACAAAGCAGGAAGTTATTAATCTAATGTCTGTTTGCACCACAGTAAGTCCCATTATTTTTAATGAGACTTGCTTCCAAGTAAGTGTGTAAAAGATTGTGGCCCTGAACTGCAATCCTAAACCAACATATTGGTAAATAAATCCTACTAAAACTCCCAGCATTCCTGGCCAGTGGTGATGCTGGCTGGAGCTGAAGGGAGTTAAAGTCCAAAACATTTGGAAAGCTGCAGGTTGGGGAAGGCTGACCCAGTTCACATTTGAAACCTAATCAAATGGACAACTTTCCGTACACTCATTTTGTTCCTTTGGCTGCCCATGAATAATTTCCACAACTTCATTCCAGCTCAACCAGTCAATTTCAGAGGCTTCACAACCACAAGATATGAAATAGATTCCATACTGTATTTCTCTCATGCCAGCAATAGCTTATACATTTTCCTTCTCAACTAGTAAGATGCTCCTTTAAGGCCTACTCCAATGCAACTGTCGACAATTGCAGCCTTTATCAAAGGGTTAGGCAACGTCTGGTGCTCCAGATGTTGCTGTACTGCAACTTCCATTAGCCTTAGCCAACACAGCCAATGGTGAACAATGCTGGGGGTTGCAGCATAACAACCTGTAAAGGCCCCCAAATTTCCCACTTGTTTCATTTCCACACACTACAGTACTATAAAGACTCAGGAATGAACACCAATTAGCAGAAGGTAGATTTACTGAAAAGTCTCTGGATGACTTGTAGCAGACTGGCAAGGTTTGCTGACTCCCAATTGTTTGAACAGCGGCAACAAAGCAACTATGCTCCTTTACCCTAAATCACACTACTGACAGAAAGACAGGTTGGTCTTCTGTCCAGAAGATGATTTTTATGTAAAAGGACTAAGAGTTTTATTCAGTTCTGGTAGTCAAAACAAATTCCTGTGCTCAGGATTCTTCAATTCTAGGTGTATGTCTTCAACACAAGGCTGCAGCTAGTGGATCTGATGTTTCTCTGAAAAACAAGGCCTGAAGTCTATCTCCATATACACAATTTTTCATATAATTTTTCTTTCAGATAATTTTGGTGTGACATCTAGTCTTATAAATGTTCTCTAAATGCTCCTTTAACTCACAATTCCCACAAAAATATTCAAGAAAAAAAATGAGTCAAGACACAATGAGTTGGCATCAACACTTCTGAAGGACAATTACATGACTGAGCAGCACATCCAAATGCAAAAAAACTAACTGAACTAAAAATTAAGAAATAAACTGTGGATTTATAATTTACAAAACCATTGTTGCATGAACATCCAACCTGAGCAAGTGGATGCACACATACATATTTTGATTTCACAGACTTATCCGGGTAATTTTTACATTAATGATAATTACTACAGCACTCATCTCTGGGCAAGGACACTGCAAATCCTATTCATTCGTACTTGCAACACAGAAAGTTAACGTGAGACATAAAGTTGGCCATTTGGGATCCAAGTCTTCATCTTCTAAAAATGGCATAGAACTGCAGTGATGGAAAAAGCTTATCTTAAATAGAGGGCTATCTAACCCTGGCAGGAAAAATGGGATGGGAATCCTACTCACTTTAGCAAGAGCCAACATGATGCAGTGCTAGACTGGAACTCGGTAGATCTGGTTCTAGTCCCCATTTGGCCATGATGCTCACGAGCTGGCTTTGGGCCAGTCACTGACTTTCAGCTTAAGCTACCTCACAGTTGGTGTGAGGATAAAATGGAGAGGATCATGTAAGCTACCTTGCCTTCTTTGCAAGAGGAGAAGACAGGATACAAATGCAAATCAATAAAATCTGTAGCAGCGCCACCAGAGTGCTTATGCTCTTGGAACACTGCATCACAAGCAGCAAAGTATTTCAATATTGCCTTGGAAATATGCTACAGATTTAATCAGTACTTTGAAACGAACTGTAATACTTGGATCAGGTGAAGCGACACGTATGTGCCGTTGTGTACATGCTGAGTTCAACACCCTCAACAGCTGAGCTACCCGCAGTAGCCAGCTCCACACAGGAAGCTGGGACAATGCGATACCCCATCCACATCAAGAGATAAAACCTGTGGGCATGCTCAGGCACCTCTGTTTTGGAAATTAAGCTACGAGAAGGAAAGGGAGCCAAAGTCAGGCAAGGGCCGGTCGCTCCACGCCCACACCGCCCCCACCCCGGGTGGCCCTTTCCATCCTTCCCCGCACTCACACTCCGAGCGCTCTCCAAAGCTAGCCCGCAGTACCGCTGAGCGCCCTCCCTCCAACCCAATCCGAATCCTCCGGCGACGGCCTCTACGGCGTCCTCCGGGCTGCCCCCAGCAACGACTCCATTGCCGGCAGCAGCCATCTTACTGCAGCAACTGCAACTCAGTTCACGGAGGAGGAGGAGAGAAGCGGCAGGCGGCAGCCGGCAGCCCCGCCCACACCTTCTTTTCCTGCCTAACGAGCGGAGCATACCATTAACGATCAAGGAGAGGGGGGACTGGGGGAAACCGTGGCTGTGGGAGGGGAAAGGACAAAAGAGAAAGTACAGTTGTTGGGACCCGAGCAGCACCATCAGCAAATAAACGAATATAGGAGGTGTGGAAGAGACGGCGATACTGTAGGAGAGCCACAGTGCTTGGGAAGAAGGGCTGCACGTATGCTTTTCAGTGGTTCTACTGCACGGCAATTAATAACTGTCACACCGCCGTGTTGTTCTCTTGACGTATTCACCTACGTATGCGCCAAACACAATCCTTGCCTCAAGGAGGCTGCAAAACAACCACCTGACTGACTGGCAAGCCAAGTGGAACATTCAGAATTGCAGCTGCGCTCTGTACATGTTCATATTGTCCTGATCGAGAGTTAAGATGCTCCTGTCCCTATTAACTGCTTTCCCTGCATTGTTTTCGGGGAATACTTACCCATGTCGTTAGTGTGTATTGTTTGCTTCCTGCCCACCCCAAGCATCCATCATGGCCTGTAGAAATCAAATTTCTTGCACGGGAATGAAAAGCATGGTCACAAACAACACTAAAGTACATAATGACTGCCTGAGAATGTTCACACACTGCAGCTGCAAAGGTATATTTTTAACTATTGATAACTTTGCAAGGCAATCAATGCTTTTCTAGTATATCTCTAGAAACAGGTAACAGATGATGGGAGTTGCAGGCCCAAACATCTTCAGGCTCTCATTTTGCCCACTCCTTTCAAAGGCATTGGCATTAAATGAGTAAACAAGTACATGGAACAAGCCTATGAAATAAGAGATTTCAAGAACATTTCATAGCTGAAGGAGTACACTTCATAAAGTGAGCCTTGGATTAGAAGAGGGCTGGCATGTTCTTTCTTTAATTTGTCAAAGCTTGGAAGGTCTGGACTGTTATGTCTAGAGGAGGGTAAACAGCTCTCCAATCTGAAGAAGGGGCTTCTGCCCAAGGTAGCAACCCCATGCTACAAACAAGCCCAGCAAGACTACAGGTTGAAGCTGAGCCTTCTTGGAAACCCTCTGACAACTAAGAAGCTGATCAGATCTGACTCATCCAGAGGGCACACTGCTGCTGCTCACAAAAGGAGACTATATCCTGGCCTGCTCCCCAGGTACACCCCACAGTGGCATTTGAATCCAATGAACTCTCTCATACTCCAAAAAACTTGTGTACCAGATGTTTTCAAAGAACCCTACACTATACTTCTCTACAGCATGTCATTTTTCTTTTTCCACCTTTTTTTCCAGGCATTGTAGAAGCCATCACATGTACTATGCCTGTGCATCCAACCCCACCACACCAACAGAGAAGCCAGTGATCAGCACAAATACACCTTTAAATTACCCTCTGGTTCAGAGATGGACCCATTATCAGAGGCTGTGACCATTGAAGGAAGACTGCCCTGGCTCCATTGGTCACATGCAATGTGTGTCTAAGCCTGCCTTGCTCTGTCACTGGACACTCATTCTTTTATTCTGGATCCCTAGAACTGTCACTTTTCTTCTCCAGGAAGTACTTGACTGCCATGTGCCCATTTTGTTGCCTATCAAACTAATGCAGGCACCTGAATTTCCCAGGACTTAAATATGCTGCTAAACTGCTATTACTTTAGCTTGCAACATTCCTTCATAAATGATTTGACCTATGGCTGAAGCTTTAACTTTAAGCAAGAAGTATGTTCTATTGAATTCAGTTCTAAGCACACACAGAAACATTCTGCACATGTTAGGACTCACAAGAAAAAATCTCAACAGATGGGGACAGGAACCAAAAATATAACTCCTTACTACAAGATAAGAAGATCAGCAGGGAAATTATAACATTAAACATTCTGGCTCTGAGGGGAAAATGTTGGAAATTTTATTTCTACATAGTGTCATTTAGGGATCTGCTAAACACTCCTCTGATGTGTGCAAGTAAGTTTTATCTGCTTGACAATAGTTATAATTTTGCAATAGTTCTTTTAAAATACACCTTATTTATTACACTTCTATCCCACCCAATAGCCAATGTTCACTTTTTTATATTTATGAAGTCAGTATAAAAACTCATTTGAAACATATAGCTCTGGTTTTCTGACTTCTAACCAATTATTAATCACGATCTTCAGTGCAAGTTGTGCAACAATGTGATAGCAGCAGCCAAGCATAATAATAGGATTAATAGGTTTATGACAGTGCATGCAACTTGTATAACAAGTCCTTGCACTGTCATGTGTCCCAGTAGAAAATTACACTTGAGCTTTGGCTTTATTACTTTGTAATTCACAACAGTTCTTTTCTAAATACATTGAGGCTATATATCTATGCCACACTAAATGTCTCATTATGTGGTTGTATATTTTCCTAAACGTTGTTGCCTGCTATGCTTTATGCTGTTTTTGTGCAAGTTGACCCCTGTGCTTTTTCTCTATTGCTGGAAACTTTAAGCCTTTGACTCCTGCTGTTTTCTGGTGTTAAAGGAAATCTTTCTTTGCTGCACAGAAGTACCACACAAAGAGTGCCCCCCCCCCCCATAAGCAGAAAGGAAGTCGAAAGTGGGGCGAGAATGCTGTCAGACAAACCCTCTCTTTCATGGCTCCATGTCCTCCAAGCATAGTAAAATTAGCTAGCTATATCTTCATTCATTTAGTGCAAGTGGGATAAACACTTTCCTTGCTTTCTTTGCAATAGTGTCATTGTTACTATAGTGGCACAAACCTTTCCTTGAGCAGTAATTGCTACATGTGGAGGAAAAGAAGAGGATTTAATTGCCCTTGGCAGTTCAGTGAATCCTATTGATTTCTACAGTATTTACTTCTACTAATGTATATAGGAATGGATTTAACTATTCCTGATATCACTGCAGATCTTTTAGACTACAATTCTAAGCACACTTGTCCTGGAATTATTCCCAGTGCAGTCAATATGGCTTAATTTCAGAAAAGCCATGCGCAGAATTATGCAGTAAGTAGCTAGAAAGTTTCTTTCATTAGTATTTGAGTGCCTGTAAGGCTTGTTCAGTCAAATATATGAAACTGAGGTCAGAGGATACTGGACACACGATCCTGCTACAGATCTCCCTTTCAAAGTCAAGTGCTGTTAAGAAGCAAAATGGGGCCCAGGTTCTTCTTTATATTTAGAGAGAAAAGCATATCCTCTATTGTTATGATCTCCTAATACTTGGGATAATGTTCTCTGTAGCACGTGTTGTTCTCATTAGGTTGAGTACAGGGGCAGAAATGATGAAGACAGGAGAAAACAGCAAACTCTTAAGCCATGAAGAGAAAGTGATAAAGCTAAATAGCCTGTGAAATGGTAGCAAAGAAGAAAAGGTACATATCCTGCTCTAGAAAATTATTTTTATGCCTGGGAGTTTTTAATAGAAATAATATGGAGAGAATTTTATATAATTAACTCTTAATACAATTTCTCCTTTAGATACTTATATTCAGTTAGTATATATTACTCATCCCTCAATGTGTAAACATTTCATTCCTTTCTCAGCCTCCAGCCCTTGCACATGATACCATGCAAAACAGCAAAAGAAAAACTAGAAACAAATGAAAAAAAATAAATAAAAGCAGTCCAAAGCACAGTTCAGTGTCTATGTGGCAGTTCAGCAGTTTGTAGATATCAAATTCCCTCTTTCACTGTAGTTTACTTTTAGAAACACTTACCTCTTCCTCTGTTTTCTCCATTGGTTGCCAAGAACCACAATCCTATAAACAAAAGCTTTAAAAACATTTATAAAAAGCATCAAATTATTCTGTTAATTAGATCCTGAACCGGATGGTAAGAGCTTCTGTAGGGTATGCATCCAAATGGAAAAGTGATCCTGTTTTGACATTTATATATTTAAAGGAACCGGGGTGCAAAAGGGAGGTTAATGACAAGCGACTTTCTTAATGTTCAGTCTTCCCATAACCTCTCCTTTGTGAAGAATTCGTTTAATAACTTACAGAAAGTATTTTAAAATGTATCGCTATGCAGAGGTTTAGTTAACATTGGGTTTGTTTGTTCAACCAACAGTTAAAGTAAAATAGGTAAATTCCTTGACTCACTCGAAAAATTATCAGAGGAACAGGCTGCAACAAGCTGCTATGGAATGATAATACATATGTCCTACTCCCAGGGCAATGCTAGTGTTTTTTTTAAATCAATTTCTCTTTTAAATTTTAATTTTAAAAACCTTTATACCTCCTCACCTATTTGCTAAGGCAATTTCAGTCATCTAAATATTGACATATTTTCCATATAGAACCCTAAGGATATTCTTTAAGAAGTAATTTTCATTGAACTTGATGGATCTTATTTCTAAGTAAACAGATTTAGATTTGGAGTATCATAAATTCTTCTTTCATTGCATTTCTTATGGTTGCTATTTAAGGCATTATAGATCAAGGCTGCATAGGGTAGCTGTTGTACCTAGACAGATTCTGAAATGTTAGAACCCTTATTTTTATTGTAGTCTGTGTGTTGAATTGAGTCCAGTTGAAGTTGTTTGTACTTGTTTACATTTCTTTCATCTGATTTCTGGCAGACTGCAGCAGATACTTATGTTTCATTTGATCCTCACAACAGCTTTGCAAGTCGGCCAGATGGATAGCCAGGGTGGGTGCAATCCTTTGCATGTTTAAGAAGAAGT